AGCACTGAGGGAGGAAGAGGAGCAGAAGAGTCAGAGGATGAAGGAGAAGATTGAGAAGATGAGCAGAGAGATATCAGCACTTTCAGACACAATCAGAGCCATAGAAGAGGAGATGGGAGCTGAAGATGTTTCATTCTTACAGGTGAGGATGATTTCAGTCTGGAGTACAAGCAAACAAAAGTGCAATGAAAACAAAATATTTTTTTCAGAATGTAATTAAAATCACTTTCAACTTTCCATCTTAAAATGTTGTCAGCAGGTTAATAATGTCTGGGTAATTTGACATTGATTTTCCTGTGGTACTTTGGTAAAGGTAGCTTGCAGTGTAGACATTTCTCATAGAGTTAGCTGCTGCTTTTCATCTATGCCTTGGTAGCGTTAAATCATTTTCACTCCAAACAACTATAATAGATGCTTAGTGCATTCCCGAGTGACAAATCAGCAAGTTGAACCACTTATTTAAGTTTAAGCAAAACTAAATGGAGAGGACATTGTATTCCTGGTGTGGAAGAATTACGCAGTTGATGTCAAGTGCCATCTTCTATGGTCAGCAACAGATATATCTCTCTGTTCCATAAAAGTAAAACTCAGGATAGAATGGCCTCCTGGCTTGGATTTCAAAATATGTTATAGGGAAAACTGCTCATAGTTGTTTTATGCTGTATCTAAAGCATCTGCTTGAACCATCCCAAATCCTGTGCACAGCCAGTTCAGCCAATGGCAAGCCACAGTACAGCAGGGTCCACCTTTTTAAGATTTTCCAGTAACAATTAGTACAGTAAAAAGATTTCCCGCTTAGTAGAATTGTTGCCTAGCTACGAGCAGGGCAAATGCAATAGTGTCCATATCATATAGCTTACATGAGGGAGATTTAGTGGGTACACCAAAATTTCTGACAATGGAGAACAATTTAACTTGGCTTCTAAGAACTGCAGATATTGTGTTGAAAATAGGTGCCCAAAATCTATCAAGCTTCATGCAGAGCCAACACATCTGCCGTCTGGTTCCTATTTAGACAAATGACAAATATGAAGCACATTGTATTCCTAAAGTGGCTATAAGTTGGGTATTTTACATTGTGCTGCATACACTTTGGACAATTATACACTTGCAACTTTGTGTGAACAGTTTAGGGAAGAACCTTTTTTGTTCCAGCATGACTGAGCCCCAGTGCACAAAGCAAGGTCCATAAAGGCCTGGCTGGGTGAGTTTGGTGCGGAAGAACTTGACTGGCCCTCACAGAGCCCTGACCTCAACCCCTTCAAACATCTTGGAATGAACTAGAACGGAGGTTGTGAGCAAGACCCTCTCGTCCAACATCAGTGTCTGACCTCACAGATGCTCTTCTGGATGAGTGGACAAAAAGTCCCACAGACTCTCTCCAACATCTTATAGAAAGCTTCCCAGAAGAGTGGAAGCTGTCATAGCTGCAAAGAGGGGACCAACTCCATATTCATGTACATGGATTTAGAATGAGTTGTCATGAAAGCTCCTGTAAGTGTACAGGATAGTAGATGTCCCAGTACTTTTGTCCACATAGTGTATGTAGTAAAGGAGAGTTAAGCAGTCTCATGAAGTTGAACTCAGCCATGTCACCATCTACCCAGAAGGACCAAACTTGATCTCAACTCAGTGTCTCCAGTGTTGGTTGTAAAAAGTTTGGGGAGATGAGCAGGGTGAGGGAGATCAAAGTGAACATGCTTTTTATTGAGGGCAGTCTTAACGCTGCTAAATGCAGCTCCCTTTTGGGTCAAACACACACTGAAATGAGGAAGATCTTAATCTTGTGCCCTCCTGTCAACTCCTCCTATCTTGGCAAAACATACTCCTTGTTCTGGTAGTGATGGAAGAGCACGATGAAGGCTCTTAGACCAGACTGCTGTCCTCCGGTGTATGGTCTCCAGGAAAATGAGACTCAAAGATGACTGACCATCTGCATGCTCAAATCAGGAGCCTGAAAATTAACTTGACATACACAGGGTTTGATTTGTGAAAACTTACACTAAGAAGGTTTGCCATATTCGATTGCTTCATACAGCCTTATGTTGCCAGGTGAAGGGATTTTGGGTATTACAGTTAGGGGACCCAGCACTGACACATTACATATTAAGCTCATATAGAGAGATGAAAGCAGACTCAAATCAACCAGCCTGAACTGTGAACCCCTGGTATTTCCACAATGTGAAAGTAATGTTTTTATTGTAAAACAAAGCCACATGAATGAAGAACACAGTCACTGATATCACTCCCATTGTTTTACAGAACTACAAGGCCACAGTGAAAAGGTGAGTGTTATTGTCTCCTGTCTCTTTCTCTTTTCTGTGGTTCTGAACTCAAAGCTTCAGCAGCACCGAGTCCTGAATGTTCTTCCAGAGCTCAGGTCACACTGCAGGATCCAGAGAGCCTTTCAGGAGAGCTGCTCCATGTGGGGAAACACCTGGCCAGCCTGAAGTTCACAGTCTGGGAGAAGATGAAGGAGATCATTCAGTTCAGTGAGTCTCACTTTCTCTAGTTTGCATTCTTTCTTTGCTCTTCTCATATATATATATATATATATATATATATATATATATATATATATATATATATATATATATATATATATATATATACACATACATATATATATGTGTGTGTGTGTGTGTGTATGTATATGTGTGTGTGTGTGTGTGTGTGTATGTATATATATATATATATATATATGTGTGTGTGTGTGTGTGTGTGTGTGTGTATAAACTAGCTCAAACATCTTTTCAGACACACCACTGACATAAACCACTTAAAACAAGCATATAACTACAGATTTCACAAATTAAACTATTTGGTATAGGATTTATATGATGAAATATGTGAATTTTTATGTGTGTATATATGTTTGTGTATATAATTTTTTTTTTTCTTCTTCACCTCCTGTAACTCTGGACCCCAACACAGCTCATCCTAAACTCATCGTGTCTGATGATCTGACCAGTGTGAGAATCACTGAGGAACAGCTGCTTCCTGATAATCCAGAGAGATTTGATTCATCTTTGTGTTCTGGGCTCTGAGGGCTTCAACTCAGGAACTCACTGCTGGGATGTTGAAGTTGGAGACAGTACAGTCTGGTTCATGGGTGTGATGACAGAATCTGCTCAGAAGAAGGGAAGTATATTCTTCAGGAGTGGAGTTTGGATTGCTTGGTATAACAATGGTGAATTTAAAGCTCATTCTGCACCACAACCAGCTACCCTTCTCTTGGTAGAACAGGAACCCCAGAGGGATCATGAAGAATCATCCTATAAGCCTTGTCATTTCGGAGATGCTCATATCCAGTCGTCTGGCCATATTAATTTGGCCCTGGTCAGTGTTGCTCAAGTCTTCATACCTGCCCATTTCTCCCACATCTAACATGTCGACTACAAGAATCAATTGTCCGGTTATCGTCTAATATATCCTAGACCTTGTCTTGTGTCATTGTTATGAGATAATGTTCTTCTCGTCATCTGTGAGTAGTCCTAATGATTTGCCTTATCGTTACCTATATATGTATGCATATATATTACATATACATGTCACAAGTCAAGTCATGTGACCTTTGTCATTCCTTTTTCCTCAATGTAACCTGTAATCTTTGGAACAAAATGTAGAAATGTAGAAGTGCAGAATATACATCAGACAATAAACATGCATGACAATAAATACACATGACACTAAGGAGGCACAACAACAAAGCAAGCTATGTATAAGAATCGGCATTGTATGTATGTGTATGTGTGTGTGTGTGTATATATATTTATGTGGTGCCAAAGCAGCATAAGTGGAGGAAAGATTGAGGTCCCATAGCAGCATACAAAGAATTGGTCTAGATTAGTCCAGTGTTAAGGGGCACTGATGCCTTCAGTAATCTGACTGCCTTGAAGAAGAAGCTTTTGCAGAGTCTGGTGGTGGTGCAGTGGATGGTATGGTATCTTCTGCCAAGTGGCAAAAGGATGAAGAGTCCGTGGGAGGGATGTGAGGGGTCATCCACAATGCTTTTGGCTTTGTGGATGCAGCACTTGTGGTATGAGGTGTCGTTGGTGGACAGAGACCCCAGTGATCTGAGCTGTCCTTACAATCTGCTCTAGGGTCTTGCGGTGTTGTGGGTCTAGGTGTGGTCACACCTTGTGCACACCAATCACCTCTTTCATCAAAATTAAGAGATCGACTGTTGTCTCTGCACCAGTTTGAAGACCACCGCACCTGGTGCATCATTGTTGCTGATGAGAGCCAGCACAGCAGCATAATCAGAAAACTTGATACTGTGATTTGAGCTATGCTTTGCCGCACAGTCAAGAGTCTGCAGTGTAAACATCAGGGGACTGAACACACATCCATGGAGAGCACCGGTGTTAGGTGTGGTGGTGCTGCCAATCCTGACACACTGAGCTCTCCCAGTAAGGATGTGCATAATGCAGAGGAAGGTGTTCTGGCCCAGCAAACTCAACTTTTCAATAGGTTGCTGTAGGGTGGTTGGGTTGAATGCTCACCTAAAGCCAATTCACAGCATTCTCACAATTGTCTTTTCCCTCCACGTGGGTCAGTATGGCATCCTCTGTAGATGGGTTAAGGTGATACGCAGACCAAAATGTATCCAGTGTGAAAGGAAGGCTGCTCTTTATGTGTTTGAAGTAAGTGCAACAGAAGATTTCTTTGGTACAGGGATGATAGTAGTCATTTTGAAACACTCTGGGACAACTGACTGGCTCAGAGAAATATTGAAGATGTCTGATAAGACATGCCTGATAGTTTTTTGTTCAAAAATGACTATTTGTACTATTCCCATATAATCTGGTTAAAACAAAACGCAATCAAGAATACTCCAGGACGCTTATGGCTAAAGTGAGTGAGCAGCAATAATGCAACATAAAAAAGATTACCGTAAGAAGTCAGTGTACTACCTATAATAAATTGATTTGCAATTTGATCACTGAATGCAACAGAATTAAACATGGGTGATAATATATTTAATGTTTACTAATGTCATTAGATGGATAATTTATTTTTTATATTTTCTGCTCTGTCTGGTGAAAATTCTAGCCCATCCTCATTAAAACTCCTCCAACTGAAACTCCTCCTACTGAGGAGGTGCTGAGTTGTTTTCTGCTGAGTCTACTTTTGTTGGTGGATTTGTGGGGAATTCTGGAACTGGATAATCTCCTGTTCCCTGTCCTCCTGTTTGATTGGAAACTACCCTGAAATCAGAGACTGAGTGTTTCACAGTACTGAGAGTGAAAGTCTGAGCGTTCTCACTGGAAGGAACAGCAGGACAAGAAAATGGCTTCTAAACACAGTGTGTGTAAAGACTGTCTACAGCAATCTTCAATGGAGAACGCTCCAACAAACCTGACTTTAAAGAATCTGTGTGAGAGTTTCTTACAGGAGAGAAGTCAGAGAAGTCCAGCAGAGTCTGAAAACATCTGCAATTTGCACAGTGAGAAAATCAGACTCTTCTGTCTGGATGATCTACAGCCTGTGTGTTGGGTGTGTCGGGACTCTAAAATACACACCGACCACAAATTTCTCTCCCTTCAGGAAACAGCAGTGGACTACAAGGTAGGCTACAAACACACACACACACAAGTTCCATAAGTTTACTAAATAATAAGCTTAAAATGAAAACGATTTGTCATCACGTTATTTAATTTTTAAGCTGTTTTCTTAAGTGGATTCACAGTTTGAGAAAGAGTTGCACCAATTTCTGTATCTGGATTTGTTTCAGTTGGAACTCAAAACTGTGCTGAAGCCCCTGAAGGAGAAACTGGAGATCTTTACAGAGTTTAAACTGGATTTGGATCAGACTGCAGAACATATAAAGGTTAGAATAACAAAATTCTCTGAGGTTATGATTCTGAACCCACATCCTCACATAATCAGTCATATTTGATTTCCTGCTTCTTTCCAGACTCAGGCCCAACACACAGAGAGACAGATTAAGGAGGAGTTTGAGAAGCTTCACCAGTTTCTACGAGATGAAGAGGTAGCCAGGATATCAGCACTGAGGGAGGAAGAGGAGCAGAAGAGTCAGAGGATGAAGGAGAAGATTGAGAAGATGAGCGGAGAGATATCAACACTTTCAGACACAATCAGAGCCATAGAAGAGGAGATGGGAGCTGAAGATGTTTCATTCTTACAGGTGAGGATGATTCAGTCAGCGTTACAAACTGTACAAGGAACGAAATAAAAATGGAATAAAATCTTGCTAACCAGTTGAAATGAATAAATATTAATGAATGTTAATGTGTAAATTTCAGAGTATATAACATCATATAATCATAACATGATATCAATAATATCACCCACACCCAGACTGCTTTCCCTCCTGACCTGCTGCTTTGTGTGTGATGTTAAATAAAGTAGGTCAGTGTCGGAGCATCTGGGTATGCGGGGTGTGCACTTGCATATGGGGCCATGTTTTGTGGGTCTGTGAATCACATCTGTGTCTTATGTTATTAATTCATAATCGCCTCTGCTTTTTATCAACGATAATTGACCAATTCCAGACTCTGCTTACTTTGTTTAGGCAATCAGTTGTTAGAAAAGTTACTGGATTTTTCAAGCAAATTGGTTAAAGTACATTTTGAATTTAACTGATTTGGACTTTAGTCTAATCCTTTTGTTTTAAATGACTCTGTACTTTAATTCTGTTAATTTTATTAACACAAATGTTTGACAATTCCATTTTGTCACTACCAGAACAATCATAACACTACTAAAACTTTACCACATGTAGTGACTGTTTCAGTACAATTTTAGCTAATTTTAAGCAGAACTCAAAAACGCTAGCCAGTATGTTACCAGCAGACACAGCTTTGAACAGTTCTATACAAATAAAACCTAAAACTATTTTCATTAAAAAAAAAAGTTTAAAATATATCTTTCAGAAGTGACGATTCTTAATATTACTCACTGACTTTTAGATTTTGGGACACATTCATTTCAAAACAATGGGATCTAACTGCTCGCCATGTGGCGATGAGGGATGCCCTCTCACTTCCTGCTCTGAAATGCAGGGGTGTGGCCTAAATAAAGCTCTGCCTACAGACCAAAACTCTTTGTTCGGTTAGTGATGTGAAAACATGGGACAGCATTTTCTGAATATATAAAACTTAAAAGAAACACTGGAAAAAAAAATGTGAGTATTATTTTCCCAAATTGAAATTCAGTGGTTATGGTTTGGGACAGACGCCTCCCAATAGAAACCACCCTATAAATGATGATTTTGTATATTTAGCTTATTACTATTCAATTATTGTCTTTGGGTTTAAATAGATCATAATATTTAATAATGGGATGAATATTAAATGGGCCGATCTCACACAGTTTGACACTATTATCATTATTATTTTACTTCATGATGGGCTCTCCTTGTGATTGTCTCTGTCTTGGATTAAGGGGGTCCGGTCTCACAGCTTTACATATGAACCCTTAACATTACATGAGGTTGTCCTCTGCTCTGGGGATTTATTTTCTGAATGTGTAATTTCTAAATTTGACCACTCAAAATTGAATTAAACTACATCCAGATTAAGCAGGCTGATGTGAACATTTTCATATTCCTGATTTTTTTGAAGTGGTTCATAATTCTGAGTTGTGAAAGTGAAATATAGGCGTTACAAGTGCCAGCAAAGGATTTAGCTCATTTGATTACTTCATACAGCTCTGGCTCTGTGTTCATCTGTACAAACAAAAATACTTAAAGATCAATATTTCTGAAAGTGAACGTTGATGTGAGAACATCTCCTCATACTCTGGAGGTGATGCACTCACGTTTTGGGGGAGAATGGAAAATACTGACGACTAGTGGAATGAAAAGGTACTGCAGGATTCATTGAACATTTTTCTAATGATCTCTGCAGAACTGAATTCAGCAAAGCATGAAAACAGGTGTGTGTGATTTTTCATAAATTAGACAAGAAACATTCGAACAGATAAAATTAGAAACACGTTTATGCATCACTTTAGTGGGGATTCTACATACATTTCATACATATGACTCCTGTTGTATTTACACTGTGTGAAAGTGATGATTTCTGTTGTAAAATAAATAAATACATGAATGAATTAATTAATGAATGATCACATTCACTGATATCACTCCCATTGTTTTACAGAACTACAAAGGCACAGTGAAAAGGTGAGTGTTATTGTCTCCTGTCTTTTCTGTGGATCTGAACTCAAAGCTTCAGCAGCACTGAGTCCTGAATGTTCTTCCAGAGCTCAGGTCACACTGCAGGATCCAGAGAGCCTTTCAGGAGAGCTGCTCCATGTGGGGAAACACCTGGCCAACCTGAAGTTCACAGTCTGGGAGAAGATGCAGGAGATTGTTCAATTCAGTGAGTCTCACTTTCTCTAGCGTTAATTCTTTTTTATTTATTTCAATGTTTTATTTTCTTATATATTTTGGTGCAGATCCACTAACATTTTACACCATCTCAAATCCTGTTTTGCCATTATAAAGTAACTGTCCTGATAGGAGCAGATTATTATAATGAAGCATCTACTCTGATTTAGTGATGCTGATAGCAAATACTGACTTGGTCAAGGCCAGATTAAGACCTGCAATGGCCCCTCTGTGTTGATACCTTAAGGACCCCCTATCCTCCCACTCCCAGTAGAGCCACCATTCACTGTTCAGCGTCAGCATTAAGAAGTAGAAGAGCTTCCAAGAACTTCTTAACTACAGGTTTGATACCACTTTAAAACACAACATTGTACTTGATGTGCAGAACAAACAACAAAAAGCGGAAAGTAAAGTCTCTGAAAGCTCGACGCCGCCATCTGCAGACATAAAACTCACGAACAGTGCCAGTGTGCAAATTATAAAAAAGGCCTTTACACACTGAATGTGTTTTTGACGCTTGCTTTCTAAACATCAAAGAACATTAAGTACCAATTTCAGAAACCACTGGCGGCAATGATGCAGAAACTTTTTTAAAGCTAAGCTAAAATTTACATTTTGCATTTGTTTTTGGTTTTGGAAATGGGCAGAAAACCTTTACTCTGTCAGGATCTCATAAAGCTCGACTGACATAATGAGAAATAGCAACAGATGTTAATCAGTGTTTGATAGCTAAGAAATGAAAATAAGGCAGGACGACCTCACCTGTTCAGAAATGATGTGGAGAGTGTCAGGATTTTGATTGGCCACAATACAATAACAGCTCTCACAGAAAACACATCGGATTTTATTCTCTTAAAAAAAATACAGCTTAAATGTTGTTTAAAAAAAAAAAAATTAAATTTTAAAATGTAAACATTAAAATAATTTTTAAAAAATTAACACAAGACAAAACTGCACTGTTATGAAAAAGAATTAGAGATGATAAGTAATTTAATATTGTTCCTCACAAAATCACTGATCTCACATTTATCAAAATGGCCATATCTAAGTGGAGCAGTAAATGGAAATAATTTAAACAAAAAGCTGACAAATTTGTACAGTACAATTCATGTGAGTTTGGACTGAAGTCTCAGCTCTGCAGAAAAATTGAGTGATTTTAACAGGACAAATTCGGTTCCATTGACTAAAAGCTCTGAGACTAAAATAAAGTAGTAATCACTGTAGAATGATCCAGTTCATTTAGTTCAGCTTTCTAAAGTATTAAGGAAGCAATTTAGCTGTTGTTTAACTCTGTTATTTTTATTTTTATTTTATGTGCACATAAATAATATTCAGAAAAGAGAATATTGTTAATTATAGTAATACACTGCTGTCAGTATGGAGTGTTGTAAATATACAGTCTTGTACTGCATTTAAAACTACAATAGAATGGATCATCACTGTAAGCAAATATTACAGTATCAGTGCTGTAAATATTAATTACAGTGACTACCTGATTACCAACTCTGCTACAGTAAATTAGGCTACTGTAATATTTTACAGTGTGACTCAAATCATGAAATGTGTGTATTTCTGTGTAAATTACATGTGTGTATTTTTTCTTCAGCTCCTGTAACTCTGGACCCCAACACTGCCCATCCTAATCTCATCCCGTCTGATGATCTGACCAGTGTGAGATTCACTGATGAGGAACAGCAGCTTCCTGATAATCCAGAGAGATTTGATGAAATGTATTTTGTTCTGGGCTCTGAGGGCTGTAACTCAGGAACTCACTTCTGGGAGGTTGAAGTTGGAGACACTGAAGGCTGGATACTGGGTGTGATGACAGAATCTGCTCAGAAGAAGGGAAATATATTATCCAGGAGTGGAGTTTGGTGTATGTGGTATATTAATGCTGAATATGGAGTCTGTTCTACAGCAAAGACAGGCACTGACCTCTCAGTAGGTCAGAAACTGCAGAGGGTCCGAGTTCAGCTGGACTGGGACAGCGGAAAACTCTCATTCTCTGATCCTCTCACTAACACACACTTACACACTTTCACACACACATTCACTGAGAGAGTTTTTCCACTGTTCAGTGCCAGTAAAATCATGAAAATCACAGCAGTTCAGTTTAGTGTATCAGTGAATCAGCTCAGTTAGAGCTCATTCAGTCTTTGTGTGGATCAGCACTGAAATACTGATTAACACTGAAATGATCACTGCAGTTATAAGACCTGTTCAGTTACTGCAGCTGAGCTGAGATTATTTGAGACAGTAGTTTTTCTTACTTGCCAAAACACATTTGTATAAGGTTTATCTACATTCTTAATGCAGTAATAGTGACCACAGTCTGAGTAACACTGAACTCAGTACATTCTTAATTATTAGAATGTATAAAAAGTAATTCTGAAGTTGTCTGTTCATAGGAGAGGTCTTACAGTTGCTTTAACTCAGTTGTGGAAAGTTTATCTTTATTTTCGGAAGCTCTTCTGCAAAACCTGATAACAGTAACACACAAACCAGGGTGTTTGGTTTCCTGTTTTAATGAAATTAAATGAGTCATTAATATTTTCAGCTTGTGAAACAATTTTCATAAATAATTTCACATCCTGTAGTTGTATATCACCTTTTGTGAGCATGTGATAAAACGTTGCATGGTTGTGTCTGAATGTGAGAACAAATTTGTTTGTAAATGTGTAATAAAGTTTTGCAGCTGTAGAAATAATTTGTGCATGTGTAAAAATATTTTGTTGCTGTATAATATAATATGCTAATATTTTGAATGTGTAATTAAAACTTATGCAGGAATATTTTCACCACTGAGGTTTCACACGTCTGAGATACAGACACACACATTTCCTACCTTTGTGAAGCTGCAAGCTACGAAGTACAAGGACGAATTCTGACCCTGTTTTTACGCCTGAGCTGACTAGCCAATCACCACGCTGTTCACTGGTATCCCACCCCCTCGATTACAGCCAGTCAGATCGCAGCATCTTTAAACAGCTCCGCCTTCAAGCTCAACCAGTGAGGTCGCAGAATCATGAAGCTGCTCTGGGATTCAAAATTTCAGCCCTGTAGTGGATTAAAGAACCATATTTTACATTTTACATTTTTTATTAAGGTCCACTGATGATATTATTTAATGTATCAAAAACAGCTGTAATTAATTTCTACATGACCACTTTATCTCTTAGAATTAAACAGGCTAGTTTTTTGACTGTACCTTTAAAACTGACATATGTAAATTAGCTCTGTTCTGATTGGCTGTCCTGTATTGTGTCAGTTCAGGCTGAAATGCCTGACTCACACTGTCCTGATCATCTGGACGGTGGAGCTGCTTTTATTTCATTCCTGAAGCTGAAAAAGTTTTGGACTAAATTATATGGAGCACCAAACTCACAGCTCAGTGTCCAGACTGTTAACAGACAGACTCTGCTGGCTCTAAGGGGAGCTGAACTTTATCTGGATCACTGGATTAGCTAAAAATCGTATTAATATGACGTCGTTAATGAGTCAGTTCACTAACTAGTCAGCTTATTTCAGTACTGTAATCCAGAACTACTTTGTGTGTCAGACTGTATCATTTTAACAGGCTGCTTGATCAAATACAGAAAAAAAACATCAGTGAAGCAGTTAAACTGTAGATATACATACATAGATGCAGCGTTGGGTTCAGCCAGGAACGTCAACAGCACCGCAGTTTTGAGGCGGTCAGCACAGCTGCTGGACTGCATTCAGTACAATTACAGAGCAGCACTTTAAGAAAGGTACCATCCAAAATGATCCAGTTTAAAGAACACAGCTCTCAGAAAGTGGGAGAGGATTTTATAACGGAGAGAAGCAGCATCAACACTCATGTCTGTGTAATGATTCTGTTCAGAGAACTTGGTGGAATTGTTTCTCCTCTGGTTTTGTATTGAGCTGAGTTCATTTAATAACCTGTACACAGCGTCTTTACCTGATGTGAAGGAGTTCTACTACTTTATTTACGCTGAGTGTCAGTGCTGAGTCAGCATTGTAGGTACAGCTCACCTTCATCTGTATGAATATTCACACTAGATCAGCACCTTCTACTGTGTTTTTGGGGTTTTATTGTATTTTTCTGTGCATGAAGATCAGAAGTGATTTACACATTGATGGATTTGCTGTGTGTTTCAATTGGAGCTCTCGCTAAACTCGTGTTGGTTTTTAAGGTTGAGTGCAGACTGAATACTTTTCCTGATACTCTGGACAGCTGACCAGCATGTTCATAGTTATTAAACAGTAATAAGCAGTCTGTGCAGTCTGGATGCCTGTGTATTATTTTTATTTCTTTTTACCGCTCCTTATGTACACAGGTGTAAACAAACTGTCAAAATAAAGAATCAGCTTTGGACTTTGTGATAATTTTCTATCACACTCTGATTGAGCTCGACCACTGGACTGTAAATACAGCTGTTTTTACATCTGTTTTGTATTTTTATGATTTTTATGATCTAGTTTAATGTTAATGTTGAGATTTTTTAAATCTTTTATAAACATGTTGATTGTAATGTGTTTGATCTGCTGACTCTCTGCTAATGAAAGATCCCATCACTGCCTGTAAGCATCAGATAAATGTAAGTCTGAATATTAATTCACTCGGACTCTCAGAGGGTCTTTGACCTGTGTGTGGACCCTGAGGCCGCGGGTGGCTGTTAGCCGTACGGGTCGAGTTCAAATCCATAAAATGGCTATAAAGCAACACAACACAAACACATTTCCTTCTGACTGATGTGGACAAATTACACTCATTTTAGTGAACATGGAAAGAGGTAGGAACAACCAACAGAACCAATGACTAAGGTTTCCCCCACCGGATGACACAGAGTCCAAAAACTGGAATCCTTTATTTTTAATGAAAGTGCAAACACCACCAACGACATGCTCAGTCTCTGAGAGCCACTCATCATCTTACTAACTGTGACTGAAATCCAGAACTGGACCACAAAAAACCTCAGCAGTTCATATGTAGTGTGAAATGTACTCTGAGAAGACAGTTGATCTGAAGTGCTGACCTGTTTTTCCTCCTCAGCTAATGCTACTAGCCTAGCCACATCGTATCATTGCACCTTGTAGCTTTTAGCTAAAAAAAGAGTGAGTTTGTGAAGTGTGAGCTGATACCAAACATCATAAATCCACTAATGATGTTCAGAAACGTTTAGTCCATCTAAACTGTGAGGACAGTAAGTTAAAATGTAAACTTCTTCTGAACTTGAGATGAGTTTGAACTTGAGCTCTCATCACTTCCTGTGTGCTATAGCAGCTCTGTAGTTCTGGTGTGGTGCAGTTTATCTGGTACATACATTTGGGCAGCCTTGGTCAGAAAACATGGGAATCAACAAGCCATTCAGATTTGAATCCTTTTCCTACGTCAAGTGCAGACTCAATTATACAGCGCCCAATCTGAGCATCTCCTCCTACTCCAACAGCAAGGACTGCTGTTATAAAATCTAAATATTAACTACTGTTAGCTTAATGCTAATGACATTACATCATTACCAGGCTAGCTAAAGTTAGCATTATCTTAGTGGAGTCAAATTGGCAAACAAAGGGTCCTTATAAAGTGTAGAACAAGATTCCTGCTTTAAACATTGTTGTGTATCGACATGCTTGTCTGCAGCGGCGCAGATAGAAATTTCACAGTGTGGTGGCCAGATTAGACCCAGAGGATTTATTGGGGTGGTAAAGAAGAGGAGTGGTTAATGATGATTTTCTGGGTGTATATAAGGGCAACGTTATCAAAATAACATAGAAACGGTGTTTAATTTATTCACAATTATATTTAGCTCATCAGTATATTATTATTATTATTATTATTATTATTATTATTATTATTATTATTATTATTTTTATTATTATTATTATTTAGAAACAGAAATCTTTGCAGTCTACCTTTATCTTTTCTTTCTGGTTCTCAATGATTCTAAAGATATGTGAGTTGATGATCATTAAAAGTCAGATTAGAAAAAGAAAAGGAGTTCAAATCCATAAAAGCTCCACTTCTCTGAGCTCGCCTGAGGCGTAGACTGTATATAAGACTCTGCTGTACGACAGGAGGAGAAAAGTGAAACCAAAGCGTCTCTGTCGCCCTCTGGTGGCTGCAGTACAGCTTTTTTTTTCACGTTTACTCGTTTTTCAGTGATGTTGTGTCGCTTCTACAAGCTTTCCTGTCTCTAAAACTCACCCCAATGTTTTATTTCAAGATGGTTTTATAAAAGTTATTTGGTGATATTTAAAAGAGTGCGGTGACGAGTTGATTGACAGCCTGGTGAGTGCGCGGGCTCTCTCCGTTCCTCCACAGGACGGACCACAGCGGACACGGCACAGCGAGCGGCTCCGTCCGGCCGTGTTTACTGTTTACAGCACTGATAAGTTTGAGCTCATTCAGAGCGTTTTGAAGTGAATCATGTCTGACTGGACACTAAACTGTTCCAGCAGATCCTCGGTTGGAAGCTCTTCCGTTTTTCCGGTCAGGGGCTCAGTTTCGTACCTAGCTAGCTGCTGGCTAACGTTGGCCGACTAAGCAGTGAAGCGTCAGTGAAACTCTCTGATAATCCAGACTGAGGATTAAAACACTGCGCAGTTCAAGATCCGCTTAACATTCATCAAATTCTGTCAACAGTTTTCTGAAACTACCTCATACAAACGCGTAGAAGTATTTAATATCATATCTAGTGTGGCTGAATGTGTTAGTCAGCTTTGGTAGCTGTTCTTATGTGAGGTTAGCTGTTCACTCACATTAGATGTCAGATAAAGTTAGTTACTGTGATATTAAACTTTATTCATTCATTCATTCATTCATCTATTTATTTATTTATTTAACTTTATTTCCAGATAAGCCCATATCTTCATATATTAGGGGAAGAAATTAAAAATAAATTCTAAAATGTAAATCTAAATGGTGTTAGTTTTATATCAGTAAATAATCGTTATAATGATTGTTACATAACGTGATGTTTTCATTTAAGGGTAATGATCACCTGAAGAGCTCAGCAGTAACGTTACCTACTGTTTATGTTGTCTGTACATTTGGTGATTCCAGTCATGATGGAGCTGCAGGACTGTGGGTAAGTAATGATGCAGAGGTCAGAGGTTTCTCACTTCAGGCATTTTAGGCTTGTATTTAAATCTACAGTTTTCTGTTGGCCTAAATTCATTATAGATTACAGATTTTATGGATATCCACACTTAGCAACAAAGCATTTGTTGATGTTTAATGAAAACATCAAATAACTCACAATGATTTGGTCAGAAATTCCCATTTATATATATACATTTACACTACAGCCCCTGGGTACAGTTTCTCTTCTAAAAAAGAAGTGAGGAGAAAGTCTACGTTGAAACTGACGTCCAACAGTCCTTTATTTATTCAAGGAGATTTTCATTTTAGAGCAGACAGAGATGCTCATACTGTCTAATGCACAATACAGACACCTGCATCAGACATACAGAATGTGTGAAAGAAAAAATAGAGATTATTAATGCAATAAATAATTAGAAATGCAATGAATGCAATGAAAAGCAGTTTAATAAAGTACAGTACTTCAGTAAAAGTATATATAAAATAATACTTGATAAAAAGGACAAATATTCTGTATATCTGTAAATCTACTTAAGTAAAAGTATGAAAGTACTTGCTTATGGATGTACTTAAGTAACTATAGTACATTTTTAAAAAGTGAGAGTATATTGTTTTATTATTATTATTATTATTATTATTATTATTATTATTGATGTATTATTTCTATTATTTTGAACGTTCTAGGGAACTTCAGCTCTGGTCCAGAAGGGCTGGATTCCTGCACATTTGGATTTTCCTGCTCAAACCCACCTAATTCAACTCAGCGATTAGTTTCCAGGTTTAGTTGGTTGTTTATACAGCTTTAAAGTGTGAGTTGAGTTGTACTTTACTTAGAGGTGCCAACACAACATGCCTGTTCATGTGATTATGTGAGAGATAAACAGAACACTGAGGTTGTAAAACGGTTGTTGTAGTTTATTATCTAGTCAGTATCTGTCGACTTTGGCCAGTTTTACTGTTTTGGGCTCATATGAAGCAGAAATAAAATGTGGGTAAACTATATGTGACTTTATCATCACCATTTATTATATTTGTACAGTTGGTCTGATTTCTTTGTGTTGTTGGACTGTTTGCTTCTATCATCCACCACTAAAATGAAACATTGTTGACATCTTAACTTGACTGGTTTGCACTGCATTGAAAATTTTGATATGTGATTTCATTGTCCGACTTTGAAGGATGTTCACATGGAACCTCCTGGTGGGAAACCAAGACCACCTGAAAGCAGCATTAGAGCAGGGAAATAATGAAATTGTGCTTGACTCTCAGATTCCCACCCCTGCAACAGACGTCTGACATCATGCGTCATTCTGTAGTCACTCTCCATATTTTCTGGTAGCTAACATACGCTAGCTCTAAAAACATAGCAGCCCAGCCCACCCGGTTTCCCTCGCAGCCCCACCTTCAAACCTGTACATCACTGCCGTGCCCCTCCCATTGTGCCCCTCCCATTTTTAAGCATTGTTAAAAGTTGAGCCAGGGGTGGAGCTGAAAGTCGTGGGGCGTAGCGACTCTAACATGGTGACACCTGCTGAGAAGGTATTACAGTTACTGTAGTGCAGTGGTTCTGAAACTTTCTGTTCTCTTTGGTTTGTGACCCCCTTCTGTAAGACTTTTTCAGACATGCTCTGAAACAACACATTTTGTTATAAAAATATGAAAAAGAAATATGATTTTGCTGCACCGATGCATCAGATGAACAAGGAAGAGCTAATCAGTTTAATCTGAAGTCAAAGCTACATCTATTACTTATGAGAATGCCTGAAAGAAAAGGGTGAGATATGAAGCAGAGAGTAAGTAACATGATTCAAACACACCCATGTCTGTAGCTAAACCTCACTGCAGCTGCAATACTGAACCAGTTTTGCAAACTGCTGTGATTAAACTGCCTCACCACCAAAAAAGGTAGCCAGGAAGAGGCCATCCAAACATTTGTGCCCAGGTGCTGATAACCTGATAAATTCCAGTAAATTCCAGCCTTTCTTCTTTAAAACTCCTCCCACTGAAACTCCTGCTACAGAGGAGGTGCTGAGTGTGAGGCATCTGCAGAGCTTTCCAGGCTGCTGAGTCTCCTTTTGTTGGTGGGTTTATGGAGAATTCTGGAACTGGAGAATCTCTCTGAAGGGAAATGATTACTAACTGGATCTACAACCGCCTGTTTGACTGGAAACAAACCTGAAATCAGAGACTGAGTGTTTCACAGAACTGAAAGTGAAAGTCTGAGTGTTCTCACTGGAAGGAACAGCAGGAAAAGAAAATGGCTTCTAAATCTTTCTCAGAGGAGGATCTCTCCTGTCCTGTGTGCTGTGAGATCTTCAAGGATCCAGTTATTCTGCGCTGCAGCCACAGTGTGTGTAAAGACTGTCTGCAGCGGTTCTGGAAAACTAAAAGATCCAGAGAATGTCCAGTTTGTAGGAGGAGATCTTCAATTGACCAGCCTCCTAGAAACCTGGCTTTAAAGAACCTGTGTGAGAGTTTCTTACAGGAGAGAAGTCAGAGAAGTTCAGCAGAGTCTGAAAACATCTGCAGTTTGCACAGTGAGAAACTCAGACTCTTCTGTCTGGATGATCTACAGCCTGTGTGTTGGGTGTGTCGAGACTCTAAAATCCACACCAACCACAAATTTCTCCCTCTTCAGGAAGCAGCAGTCGACTACAAGGTAGGCTACAAACACACTGTCAGAAGTTCACTAGGTTCACTAAATTTTAAGCTGAAAATAAAACCTATTTGTCATCACTACTAAAATTATAAGCTGATTCTCAAGTGGATTCACATTTTGAGAAAGTGTTGCACCAGTTTTTGTATCTGACTTTGTTTCAGGAGGAACTCAAAACTGCACTGAAGCCCCTGAAGGAGAAACTTGAGATTTTTACAGAGTTTAAACTGGATTTGGATCAGACTGCAGAACATATAAAGGTTAGAATAACAAAATCTTCTGAGATTATGATTCTGAACCCACATCCTCACATAATCATTCATATTTGATTTGATTTACTGCTTCCTTCCAGACTCAGGCCCAACACACAGAGAGACAGATTAAGGAGGAGTTTGAGAAGCTTCACCAGTTTCTACGAGATGAAGAGGCAGCCAGGATATCAGCACTGAGGGAGGAAGAGGAGCAGAAGAGTCAGAGGATGAAGGAGAAGATTGAGAAGATGAGCAGAGAGATATCAGCACTTTCAGACACAATCAGAGCCATAGAAGAGGAGATGGGAGCTGAAGATGTTTCATTCTTACAGGTGAGGATGATTCAGTCAGCGTTACAAACTGTACAAGGAAAGAAATAAAAATGGAGTAAAATCTTGTTAACCAGTTCAAATTAATAAAACTATATTAAAAATGTGTAATTTTCAGAGTATATAACATCATATAACCATAACATTAATATCACCCACACCCAGATTGCTTTCCCTCCTGACCTGCTGCTTTGTGAGTGATGTTAAATAATGTAGGTCAGTGTCGGAGCGTCTGGGTATTCAGGGTGTGCACTTGCAAAAGGGTCCATATTTTGTGGGTCTGTGAATCACATCTGTGTCTTATGTCATTAATATAATCGCCTCTGCTTTTTATCAACGATAATTGACCAATTCCAAACTCTGCTTAAATTGCTTAGGCCTCCAATCAGTGGTTAGAAAAGTTACTGGATGTTTCAGGCAAATTGGATTAAATACATTTTGGACTTTAGACTAAAATCCTTTTGTTTTGTGACTCTGTACCTTAATTATGTTAATTTTATTTAAACAAATGATTGACAATTCCATTTTGTCACTACCAGAACAATCATAACACTACTAAAACTTTACCAAATGACTGTCATGACTGTTTCAGTACAATTTTAGCTAATTTTGAGCAGAACTCAAACACTAGCCAGTATGTTACTAGCAGCCTGCAGACTAAAACTCTGTGTTTTGGTAGTGATGTGAAAACATGGGACAGCATTGTCTGAATATTTAAAAATGTAAAACTTAAAAGAAACACTGAAAAAAATAATAATTAAAAAAACTAAGTATTTTTTTCACAAGTTGAAATTCAGTGGTTAGGGTTTGGGACAGACTCCTCCCAATAGAAAGCACCCTATAAATGATGAATTTGTATATTTAGCTTATTACTGTCTCAATTATTGTCTTGGGTTTAAATAGATCATTATATATAAATGGGATGAATATTAAATGGGCCGATCTCACACATTTTGACACTATTAGCATTATAGCATCACTTCATGATGGGCTCTCCTTGTGATTGGTTCTGTCTTGGATTAAGGGGGTCTGGTCTAACAGCTTTACATATGGACCCTTAACATTACATGTTGTTGTCCTCTGCTCTGGGGATTTATTTTCTGAAGGTATCATTTCTAACTTTGACCACTCAAAAGAATAAAACTATGTCCAGATTAATCAGGCTGATATAAACATTTTCATACTCCTGATTTTTTTTTGAAGTGGTTCATAATTCTGAGTAAAGAATTTAGCACATTTGATTACTTCATACAGCTTTAGCTCTGGGGTCATATGTACACACATAATGCTGAGCATCTACGTAAGAATCAATATTTCTGAAAGTGAAAGTTGATGTGAGAAGGTCTCCTCATACTCTGGAGGTGATACGCTCATGTTCTGGGGGAGAATGGACAATACTGATATCTAGTGGACAGAAGAGGTACAGCAGAATTCAGTGGAAGTTTGTTCTTATAATCTGTGCAGAACTGAATCCAGCAAAGCACGAAAACAGGTGTGTGTGTGTGTGTGTGTGTGTGTGTGTGTGTGTGTGTGTGTGTGTGTGTGATTTTTAATAAATTAGACAAGAAGCATCCAGCACACAAAATTAGAAACACATTTATGCATCACTTTAGTGGGGATTCTACATAAGTTTGATACATATGACTCCTGTGATATTTACACTGTAAGTGATGATTTCTTTTGCAGAATGAATGAATGAATGAATGAATGAATGATCACATTCACTGATATCACTCTGATTGTTTTACAGAACTACAAGGCCACAGTGAAAAGGTGAGTGTTATTGTCTCCTGTCTCTCTCTCTTTTCTGTGGTTCTGAACTCAAAGCTCAAAGAGTCCTGAATGTTCTTCCAGAGCTCAGGTCACACTGCAGGATCCAGAGAGCCTTTCAGGAGCGCTGCTCCATGTGGGGAAACACCTGGCCAACCTGAAGTTCACAGTCTGGGAGAAGATGAAGGAGATTGTTCAGTTCAGTGAGTCTCACTTTCTCTAGCTTTAATTCTTTTTTATTTATTTAAATGTTTTATTTTCTTATATATTTTGGGGCAGATATACTAACATTTTACACCATCTCAAATCCTGTTCTGCCATTACAAAGTAACTCTCCTGATAAAAGCAGATTATTATAGTGAAGCACCTACTCTGATTTACCAATGCTGATAGTAAATACTGACTTGGTCAAGGCCAGATTAAGACCTGCACTGGCCCCTCTGTGTTAATACCTTAAGGACCCCCTATCCTCCCACTCCCAGTAGAGCCACCATTCACTGTTCAGCATTAAGACGTAGAAGAGCTTCCAAGAACTTCTCAACTACAGGTTTGATACCACTTTAAAACACAACATTGTACTTGATGTGCAGAACAAACAACAAGACAGCAGAAAGGAAAGTCTCTGAGAGCTCGACGCCATAAAACTCACGAACAGTGCCAATGTGCAAATTATAAAAAAGGCCTTTACACACTGAATGTGTTTTTGTGACGCTTGCTTTCTAAACATAAAAGAACATTGTTAAGTACCTGTTTCAGAAACCACTGGCGACAATGATGCAGAAACCTTTATAAAGCTAAGCTGATATTTACATTTTACATTTGTTTTTGGCTTTTGGAAATGAGCAGAAAACCTTCTACCTTCTACTCTGTCACAATCTGATAAAGCTCATCTGAGGTAATGAAAAATAGCAACAGATGTTAATCAGTGTTTGATAGCTAAGAAATGAAAATAAGGCAGGATGACCTCAACTGTTCAGAAATGATGTGGAGAGATTTTTATTAGTCACAATACAATAACAGCTCTCACAGAAAACACATCAGATTTCATTCTCTTAAAAAATGCAGCTTAAAAATTATTGCTTTTACTTTTGGATCAATTGTCTTTTTAATGTAGTACAATTAAACAAAGAAAAGAGAATTTTTTTTAAATAATTTCAACAAGAATTTAACACAAAGCAAAACTGCACTGTGTTATGAAACAGAATTAGAGATTATAAGTCACTTAATATTGTTCCTCACAAAGTCACAGATCTCACATTTATCCAAACAGCCGAATCTAAGTGGAGCAATAAATGGAAATAATTCAAACAAAAAGCTGACAGACACAAAAGCTGTACAGTACTATTTGTGTGAGTTTAGACGTATGAACTCATGAGCAGTGAAAAAGGTGACAAAGCTCAGAAATCAATTCTCAGCTCCCCAGAAACAAATAGTAATTTTAACTGAAAAAAATTCTGGTTCACTGAGACTAAAAACTCTGAGACTAAAATAAAGTAGTAATCACTGTAAAATGATCCAGTTCATTTAGTTCAGCTTTCTAAAGTATTAGAGAAGCAATTTAGCTGCTGTTCAACTCTTTTATTTTTTATTTTTATTTTATGTGCACATAAATAATATTCAGAAAAGAGGATATTGTTGATTACAGTAATAAACCGCTGTCAGTATGGAGTCTTGTACTGCATTTAAAAGTACAATAAAATAGATCATTAATGTAAGCAAATATTACAGTATCAGTGCTGTAAATATTAATTACAGTATCTACCTGATTAACAACTCTGCTGCAGTAAAGTAGGCTACTGTAATATTTTACAGTGTGGGACTAATCATTAAATATGTGTATTTCTGTGTAAATTACATGTGTGTATTTTTTCTTCAGCTCCTGTAATTCTGGACCCCAACACTGCCCATCCTAGACTCACCCTGTCTGATGATCTGACCAGTGTGAGATTCACTGATGAGGAACAGCAGCTTCCTGATAATCCAGAGAGATTTGATAGATATGGATTTGTTCTGGGCTCTGAGGGCTGTAACTCAGGAACTCACTGCTGGGATGTTGAAGTTGGAGACAGTACAGGCTGGTTTGTGGGTGTGATGACGGAATCTGCTCAGAAGAAGGGAGAAATATTCTCCAGGAGTGGATTGCGGTATATGGGGTATAATGATGGTGTATATGGAGCCTGTGCTTCACCACAGACAAACATTCTCCTCTCAGTAGGTCAGAAACTGCAGAGGGTCAGAGTTCAGCTGGACTGGGACAGAGGAAAACTCTCATTCTCTGATCCTCTCACTAACACACACTTACACACTTTCACACACACATTCACTGAGAGAGTTTTTCCACTGTTTTGTACCTGTGAAATCATGAAAATCACAGCAGTTCAGTTTAGTGTATCAGTGAATCAGCTCAGTTAGAGCTCATTCAGTCTTTGTGTGGATCAGCACTGAAATACTGATTAATACTGAAATGATCACTGCAGTTATAAGACCTGTTCAGTTACTGCAGCTGAGCTGAGATTATTTGAGGAATATTGAGCTTCTTAAACACATTTGTAGAAGGTTTATCTGCATTTTAAACATGAATGGAAGCTACATTAAAGTAGCACAGTCTGAATAACACTGAACACAGTTCATTCTTAATTATTAGAATGTATAAAAAGTAATGCAGTTGTAACATAATATGTAAGTATGATGCTGGGAGGAATTATCAAATTTGTTTTGAAATTTTGAAGAAGGTGTCTGTTCATAGGAGACGTCACAGTTGCTTAATCACAGTTGTGGAAAGTTTATCTTCATTTTTGGAAGCTCTTCTGCAAAACCTGATAACAGTAACACAAACCAGATTGTTTGGTTTCCTGTTTTAATGAAAGTAAATAAGAGTCATTAATATTTTAAGCTTGTGAAACAATTTTTCATAAATAATTTCACATCCTGCAGTTGTATGTCATCTTTTGTGAGCATGTGCTAAAACGTTGCATGGATGTGTCTGAATGTGTGAACAAATTCAAGTTTGTAAATGTGTAATAAAGTTTTGCAGCTGTAGAAATAATTTGTGCGCATGTAAAAATATTTAGTTGCTGTATTAATATTTTGTGTGTGTAATTAAAACTTATGCAGGAACATTTTCACCACTGAGGTTTCACAAGTCTGAGATACAGACTCACAAAATTCCTACCTTTGTGAAGCTACAAGCTATGAAATACAAGCACGAATTCTGACCCTGTTTTTACACTTGAGCTGACTAGCCAATCACCACGCTGTTCACTGGTATCCCACCCCCTCGATTACAGCCAGTCAGATCACAGCATCTTTAAACAGCTCCGCCTTCAAGCTCAACCAGTGAGGTCGCAGAATCATGAAGCTGGGATTCAAAATTTCAGCCCTGTAGTGGATTAAAGAACCATATTTTACATTTTACATTTTTTATTAACGTCCACTGATGATGTGATTTAATGTATCAAAAACAGCTGTAATTAATTTCTACATGACCACTTTATCTCTTAGAATTAAACAAGCTAGTTTTTTTACTGTACCTTTAAAATTGACATATGTTAATGTGCTCTGTTCTGATTGGCTGTCCTGTATTGTGTTTTATTCAAAAATCAGCACAGGCTGAAACACTTCTTATAACCTCAGTGTGAATAGGTGGGGCTAAACTGCTGTAGGCCAGTCGTTGGCTATGTACATAAATGTGTTGGGGTTTGTGACATCACAAAACAATTAGCTGTTTTTCAGTTTAGTTTCTATGTATGAACTGATCTTGAAACATTGTGTCCTCCGTTCAGACAAAGGAAGAACTTTTGTAGTAATTATTAGACTCAGAAATGGTGTGAAGGTGTTAGTGAGGAGCTGTAATGCCTGACTCACACTGTCCTGATCATCTGGACGGTGGAGCTGCTTTTATTTCATTCCTGAAGCTGAAACAGTTTTGTACTAAATTATATGGAGAAACGAACTCACAGCTCAGTGTCCAGACTGTTAACAGACAGACTCTGCTGGCTCTAAGGGGAGCTGAACTTTATCTGAATTACTGGATTTGCTAAAAATCGTATTAATATGACGTTGTTAATGAGTCAGTTCACTAACTAGTTATCTTATTTCAGTACTGTAATCCAGAACTACTTCGTGTATCAGACTGTATCATTTTAACAGGCTGTTTACTCAAATACAGAAAAAATGTTTATCAGTGAAGCAGTTAAACTGTAGATATACATACATAGATGCAGAGTTGGGTTCAGTCAGGAACGTCAACAGCACTGCAGTTTAGAGATCACCTTATTCTGTATGAATATTCACATTTGTGTTTTGGGGTTTTATTGTATTTTTCTGTGCATGAAGATTAGAAGTGATTCACATATTGATGGATTTACTCTGTGTTTCTATCTGAGCTCTTGCTAAACTCGGTCGGTTTTTAGGGTTGAGTGCAGACTGAACACTTTAGCACATAAACAGTTATTAAATAGAATTAATAAACAATCTGTACAGTTTAGATGCCTGTGTATTATTTTTACTTAAATTGAGTAATCTTGATGTCCTTTGGTTTTGACCATAGGTGGCCATCAAATTAGTGCCTAAACAGCCAAATGACCGATATCTCTACAGCGTAAGTGCACCTACTTGTAGTAACACATGATGGTCTCCCCATGAGTTTCTCTCCACGTCCTTCGCCTCACCATTCGACTACCTACTGTCCTGCAGCCTGATGAGTCCAAGGCCGTACCTGTGGAAATGGCTCTGGTGCAGATGATGAGCCAGCCGCCCATCTGCAAGAACATCATCGTGCTCATCGAGTGGTTTGATGAGCCACACAGATACATCCTGGTCCTGGAGCGCCCTGACCCTTGTGTGGACTTGGAGAGCTTCATTGACAACTTCGGAGATTATGCCGAGGAAGAGGCGGCCCGAGCCATAATGCTCCAGGCTGTGGATGCAGTGAGCCAGTGCAGCATGCGAGGTGTCCTGCATCGGGACATCAAATTGGAGAACTTTCTGATCAACACAGACACCTCAGAGGTCAAACTTATTGACTTTGGCTGTGGTGACAGGATCAGGAGCACTGGATATAATCATTTTGCAGGTAAAATTTGAAGGCTAATAGCTCCCTCTTGTGGACAATCTTCAGCTAAAAGTGAGAGAGTGAGTGAGTGAGAGAGATACCAAACATGTCCACGAGGAGCTTCACATCTAAAACTATGATCCTGAGAGGAGAATCGTGTCCCAAAGCCACTGAGCTGTTAAATGTTGCTCAGCTGTGCTCTTTCTCTTTTTTATGATCTCAGGAACTCTTGATTTCTGCCCTCCTGAGTGTTTTCTGGAGAAGAGGTATCACGCAGATCCTGCAACAGTTTGGTCGCTTGGTGTCCTTCTGTTCAGGATGGTTTGTGGATACCTTCCCTTTAATGAGACACTGGACATTATTGCAGGCTTTCTGGACTTCAGAGACGGTTTATCCAAGGGTAAGATAAATGGGAGCATCTGGGTAAACAAGGCACCTTTAACCTGGTAACTAAGTACAGAATAACAGAGATATGAATATGAAGGATTATGCAGGTGAAGAATTTGCAGTAGAGGCCAGACGTCCCTAAATATATAAGTTTATAATAGTGTATTTTCACGTTCTGGTTACATCCCACCCTTTTACTGGTAGTCCTTCTGATATGTAGTGATTAAGCATCTCTGCCTTATCCACTCCTGTCACTCTGCACAGAATGCTGTAATCTGATTAGCTGGTGCCTGCAGCACCACCCATCCAGGTGGCCTAGTTTGCAGCAGATCAGGCAGAATGAGTGGTTCCAGTGCACCGTCCAGGCTTAAGATCAGGTAAGCCAGGGAGGCTAGGAGAAGCCGTAAGCCTAAAATATCTAGTTACAAATGAGGAGATACTGTGGTGCACATATATGTATATGTGCCATAAGTAAACTGGAAAATAAGATTGAGATAAAAATCTCTAGATTTCTTTAGGCTTCAGAAGCATCTCTAATGCTGCCTAATGCAAATCATGGTTTATATTTCAGGTTATAAAGAAAAGTTAAGAGGAGATCACAAAAAACAACAATAAAAAACAACAACAACAAACACTTCTTCATGTGATCACAGACTACTGGATAAAGAACGGTGACAAATTATTAAGGACAACGAGAGTGGAAAAAGGACAATGATGGGGAAAAAAGGATAGAGAAAAAAGGACAATGACAGAGAAAAAGGACAGTGACGGTGGAAAAAGTACAATGAATAAAGCAAAAGACGCATTTTAAAAATGTCTGATGAAGCTCATTATTATATGAATGATAAGACACTTCACACAAACCTAAGAGGAGATACAGCACATTTAACTTGCTGATGGTTGAGTTGATGTCTGATAACAACAGTAAACTTTTTCTGATCATTATTTAAACCCTAATCATGATCAGATTTTGTGCTTACAGCGTCTGGTGAGCAGCACTGGCATTGTTGACAGTTGCTAATCAAACAAACTCACTCTACCCAAACTCTTTCCTGTATTACAGACGCCTCCATCAAACTGTCTCACAAACCAGTTACAGTGAAAAAACAACAGAGTCGAAGATTCGACTACAAGCATTTTGACTAAGACCAAGTACAAGTATGTACAATCATGGCCGAAAGTGTTGTCACCCCTGAAATTTTTCACCCCTGAAGTATTTCTCCCAGAAAATTATTGCAATTACACATGTTTTGTTACATACAAAACCCATTTTTGGAGTTTTGTGTGAAATTACATCATTTTTGGCTTTTTTTTCTCTGTTGCTTTGTGTTGTTCCAATACACACAAAGGAAATAAACGTGTATAACAAAACGTGTAATTGCAATAATTTTGGGAGAAATACTTCATTTTCTGGAAAAATTTCAGGGGTGCCAACACTTTCGGCCATGTCTGTATTCTTTAGTACTCCTCGATACCGAGTTTCTTACCACACTGAGTAACTTACATAGAATTATGAGTGCAATGTACTTTTACAGTTAGATCATTAAAATCTGACTGGTTTTAAATGAAGTGCATTAGTGAGCTGGGCTGTATTATTTAACGCTACCTTGGATTGAGTAGCGCTGCAGTGGAGAAGAGCGAGTTTTGTTCCACGTCAGAAAAGCACTTCTGTACAGCTGTAGTTTTGCTCTTCATGTGTGTCTTTTAACAGCTGTTTCTGTAGATCAGTAACAACAGGAATCATGTGACTCTGATGTATTCGAGCAGCTCAAGTGTGGACAGAGTCTTTTGTCTGGCTGTTTCAACTGTAGCTCAATGTCCTCTAAAGCCAGACATAAACTGTGTGATTTAGAAATCCTGCACTGCTAACACTGCACTGAAGCTAAAAGCAGGCGGTGATCTACAACAAATAAAATTTAAAAGTTTTTAATTTTATTATTTAATGAGTGAGAGTACGGGTACATGAGCACCATATCGGCTGGATACCCAATACCAGTATCTGTTTCAATATATCCCGAATTGTGACTCTCAGAGCCATTGGCCAAAAGTCGACCCCAGACATGCTGGAGTTGAAGAATCTGTTCTCTTCAGTTCTGTATATTTACCTTCACTTCAACACAACACATTTAAATTTGTGCTTTTACTGGATACAAAGAGAAAAAACAGCACAATTGTAATTAGCTGCATTCAAAAGTTTCAGTCATTTCTAAAAATTATAAAAGATAACTCTGTCTGAAAAAAATAAGCAAAGTTGTTTTTATTAATTTTATCTTAGCTGAAAACACTGCTGAGAAAAACAACACTGACTAGCATGCTTTTCATGATGATCTAAGCAGGTCTATGCTGGTCTCTGCTGTTTTACCTGGTCACCTCAGGATGGTCATACTGGTTAACCAGCACACCAGCATCAACATGCTTGTCTGAAGCGGCGCAGTAATATATTCATTTATTTGAGTTATGCTTTATTTTTATCCTATAATAATAATAATAATAATAATAATAACAATAAATAATAATAATAATAATAATAATAATAATAATAATAATAGTACTAATAATAAAAGATTCAAGATCTTGAATTATTATCATTATTACTATTATTATTATTATTATTATTAGTAGTAGTAGTAGTAGTATACACTGAAATTGTTCTGTTGTTTAAATGGTTGACCTTTTATTTCAGATATTTTGAAGCTATAAAATGATTGACAGGCCTGTGGATCAAACGACAGACAGTCCAGTCTCTGTAGAAGAGGACAGGGCCATGAGGTGATCTAAAACAGCTCAGGTGTGGCTTTATTACTGGACTCAAGACTGAAATGAATGGAAGGGAATGGAGAGCTTCTGTTTTGTGCTTAGTGGCCGAAAACTTGATGATCCAATCCTGAATATTTCAGTTACACTTCAGTCATTTAAGCAGTTAAACTTGATATTTAAGATGCAATTTAGAGCAGAATGAGGCAAACAAAAACTTCTAATCAAAAACTAACTTTAGCTTTAACATTGTGCTACGATTCATGAGTTAATCTGATGTTTTTGGTTGACTTTAGTGGAAATCCATGATGTGGCTGGACAGGCTTTAGGTGAGTTGGTGTGGAATCACAGGGTTTATTATTATTTGATCTGTTTTCTGCTCTGTCTGGTGAAAATTCTAGCCTTTCCTCTTTAAAACCCCTCCCACTGAAACTCCTGCTACTGAGGAAGTGCTGAGTGTGAGGCGTCTGCAGAGCTTTCCAGGCTGTACTGTTGTTTTCTGCTGAGTCTCCTTTTGTTGGTGGGTTTATGGAGAATTCTGGAACTGGAGAATCTCTCTGAAGGGAAATGATCACTAACTGGATCTACAGCCGCCTGTTTGACTGGAATCAAACCTGAAATCAGAGACTGCGTGTTTCACAGAACTGAGAGTGAAAGTCTGAGCGTTCTCACCGGAAGGAACAGCAGGTAAAGAAAATGGCTTCTAAATCTTTCTCAGAGGAGGATCTCTCCTGTCCTGTGTGCTGTGAGATCTTCAAGGATCCTGTTATTCTGCACTGCAGCCACAGTGTGTGTAAAGACTGTTTGCAGCGGTTCTGGAGAACTGAAGGATCCAGAGAATGTCCTGTTTGTAGGAGAAGATCTTCAATTGATCAGCCTTCTACAAACCTGGCTTTAAAGAATCTGTGTGAGGGTTTCTTACAGGAGAGAAGTCAGAGAAGTCCAGCAGAGTCTGAAAACATCTGCAGGTTGCACAGTGAGAAACTCAGACTCTTCTGTCTGGATGATCTACAGCCTGTGTGTTTGGTGTGTCGGGACTCTAAAATCCACACCAACCACAAATTTCTCCCCCTTCAGGAAGCAGCACTTGACTACAAGGTAGGCTACAAACACACACTGTCAGAAGTTCACTAGAAGTTCCTTAGATGTGCGCTCAAATAGTAAAACTTGATAGCAAATCTTCTCTGCACTGATTTCAACTTGGACATTCATTATCAGTCAGTGACTGTTACAGCTTCCCAAATGTTTCAGCACCTCTGTAAAAAATTCTGAAGGTTACAGTTAGCTAAAAGGTACTTTAAAAAGTCTGCAGAGTTCTTTAAAAAGGTCTTGTGGAAAGTTGAGGTGGTCTTTACAGAATTCCTAGTGCTACTAGTGCTTATATTACTATTATGTCACTTTTCTAGGTTCTCTTTGTTTGTGTTTGTGTTTGTGTCTCGGATTAAGGGGTTTTCATATACGCCCCAGGATGAATTGCTACGTCACTGAAGTGGGCTATGATACTGTGGTAAAGATAGTTTGTGGTTAGCGATTATAAATAACAGTAGAGCTACATTTCTTCATTTATATTTCCTGATTTGAGAATTTATATGATGTTGTTCTCCACTAAGTTCACTAAATTTCAAGCTGAAAATAAAACCAATTTGTCATCACTTTACTAAATGATTAATTTTTTGCAAGTGGATTCACATTTTGAGAAACAGTTGCACGAATTTCTGTATCTGGCTTTGTTTCAGGAGGAACTCAAAACTGCACTGAAGCCCCTGAAGGAGAAACTGGAGATCTTTACAGAGTTTAAACTGAATTTGGATCAGACTGCAGAACATATAAAGGTTAGAATATCAAAATCTTCTGAGATTATGATTCTGAACCCACATCCTCACATAATCATTCATATTTGATTTGATTTCCTGCTTCCTTCCAGACTCAGGCCCAACACACAGAGAGACAGATTAAGGAGGAGTTTGAGAAGCTTCACCAGTTTCTACGAGATGAAGAGGCAGCCAGGATATCAGCACTGAGGGAGGAAGAGGAGATGGGAGCTGAAGATGTTTCATTCTTACAGGTGAGGATGAGTCAGTCAGCGTTACAAACTGTACAAGGAACGAAAACGATCAATTCTGTTTTACAGAACTTTTTTGAAAATAGGAACAAAATCACTTTTAACACTGCCAGACTGTAATATTCATCTACAATCTTGCAAACCATTTAAAATGTAATTAAAACATGTTTAAATATGTCTAACGTTTATATACATTAATAGTATCACCCACACTCAGCTCGCTGTTCCTCCTGATGTGCTGATGTGTGAGTGATGTTAAATCAAATAGGCCAGTGTTGTAGTGTCTTGTTGTGCAGGGTATGCACTTGCATTCAGGCCAATATTTTGAGGCTCCCATGAATCACGTCAGCTTATTATTTTATTAATTTATAATCGCCTCTGCTTTTTATTAGTGATAACTGAATAATTCCAATCCCTGCTTAAATATCTTAGGTTTCCAGTTAGTGGTTAGCAACCCTTACTATGGTCTATTACTTTGCTTTGTAACCATAACTACCTTTGCTCGTTGCTAATATAACCATGTTTAGTTATGATCAGCAAAAGTGCAGGCGGAATTGAAGGCTAGTCTAAGTTCTGATGAAACACAGGTGACAGGAAGCCTTAGATGTGCGCTCAAATAGTAACACTTGATAGCAAATCTTCTCTGCACTGACTTCAGCTTGGACATCCACTATCAGTCAGTGACTGTTACAGCCCCCCAAATGTTTCAGCACCTCTGTAAAAATTTCTGAAGGTCATAATTAGCTAAAAGGTACTTTAAAAAGTCTGCAGAGTTCTAGAAAAAGGTCTTGTGGAAAGTTGAGATCGAGATTAACTTGTATCAGAGCAATGAAAAGCACAAAAGATCCAAAGCATACCACCTCATCTGTGAAACATGGCGGTGGGTGTCATGGCCTGGCCAATCACACCCAGATTGACACAACACAGGTTGTTATATGGGAGTAATCTGCTTACTTCACATGAGCTACATAAAAACAGAAACCTCGACTCATATATAGTAGAAAGACACTCATTCATTCATGGTGTTTATAGATTTACAAGGGGTCTTTACAGAATTACTAGTGCTACTAGTGCTATTATTACTGTTATGTCTCTGTTCTAGGTTCTCTTTGTTTGTGTCTCGGATTAAGGGGGTTTTCATATACGCCCCGGGATTAATTGCTAAGTTCACACAGTTCTAGCTCTGGGTTCTTATATCCACACAAAAATAATGCTGAGCATCTACATAAAGATCAATATTTCTGAAAGGGAAAGTTGATGTGAGAACTTCTCCTCATACTGTGGAGGTGATGCACTCATGTTTTGGGGGAGAAAATACAAATACTGACAGCTAGTGGAGATGAGAGGTACTGCAGAATTTATGGGACTTTTTCTAATGACTTGTGCAGAACTGAATCCAGAAAAGCAGAACACCAAGAACGTACAATACACTACATAATGATGTATTATGAGTTCACTGGGTAGAGTAATGTTAGAAAATAAATAAAAATATTTAGATAAACAGATTTGACTGCTTTCACAAAATCTCAACACGTGATCTGTTGACTGTCATGCACAGCAGCTTCAGAAGTGGACAAAAAGCCAATTGTCTCACCAGTATATTCTATAATGGGTCAATCTTGGCCTTTTTCTCGCAAATCATAGTGTTTGATGTGATTTACGACAAGAAACAGGCTTGTGTGGATTTTCATAATCTGACAAGAAATATCTGTACAGACATTAGAAATGTTTATGCATCACTTTAGTCGAGATTCTACATACATTTCATACATGTGACCCCATATATACATATGATGTTTGCACTGTGTGAAAGTGATGCTTTCTTAAAAAATAAATGAATACAATAATGAATAAAGAACTCAGTCACTGATATCACTCTCACTGTTTTACAGAACTACAAGGCCACAGTGAAAAGGTGAGTGTTATTGTCTCCTGTCTCTCTCTCTTTTCTGTGGTTCTGAACTCAAAGCTTCAGCAGCACTGAGTCCTGAATGTTCTTCCAGAGCTCAGGTCACACTGCAGAATCCAGAGAGCCTTTCAGGAGCGCTGCTCCATGTGGGGAAACACCTGGCCAACCTGAAGTTCACAGTCTGGGAGAAGATGAAGGAGATCGTTCAGTTCAGTGAGTCTCATTTTCTCTAGCGATCTTCCTTTCTTTCGTCTTTCTTTTTCATCTAAAGCTATCTTTACCACGGTACCATAGCCTACTTCAGTGACGTATCAATTCATTCTGGGGCGTATAAGCAAAGCTGACCTGGCCCCCTTAATCCAAGACACAGGATGGAGGATGGGGGGTCTTGCAGTCAGTATTTACTATCAGCATATATAATATTATAATATTATGATTATAATAATCAGCTCCTACCACAACTGTCATTTTATAATGGCAGAATAGGATTTATGACAAAAACATGCAAAACATTAGTCTGCCCCAAAATACAAGAGAAAAATACACTGCAAGGCCCCCCATCCTCCTTCTCCCCCTAGAGTCACCCCCCAACAGACACACATACATAATGAACATTCACTGCAAGCACTGTGTCATAATAAACCAGGTATTAAAGTAAATTAAGGAATAAATTAAAAAGTAAAAAATAATCATGACTAAAAAGTCAGGTTGATGTAAATGTTTGTCCAGCGACTCTTTCCATTAGTGTATAAATGTAATGTAAGTGATAAACGCAGCATCACAGCTGCAGGAAGCCGTCTTTCCTCTGAACACACAGCAAACATCACAACAGGAGCTTTACTAAAATTAAAGTCAGACACTATAAATTAACCATTTAGTAGATTTCTATCTCTGTATTGCGAAAAACAAAACAGTTTTTGTGTTTTGAATATTGATGCAACAGGAGGCTCACACACTTACGACCGGCACAACTTTCACCCCATAGAAGACGACATAAAATGTTTACATGAGGAAAAACGATACGAGGAAATTTAAAAACTAAACTGGAAATCATCCTGAACTGAAGCACACTGAGACAGAGGCACGAAAAATGGTTACTGATTATTATCTTACCTTTGATGACTTTGTGCAAAGAATAAGACTCTTTGTTTTTTACGCTTTTTTACATGAACTTTTAAGATGTTATTTCTTGTATGTACTAAAGGCCCTTTAGCACTCAGAGCTCCAGCGTCTTCACCCAAGTCTCCCTGATGGTAGATCCAGCCATGCTTGGTGATAATGAGCTCTGTTTGATGGTGAAAAGCTTGTCTTGTTTTTTTGCGCTAACACCAAGTGATGTGGCTGGACAGGCTTTAGGTGAGTTGGGGTGGAATGACTAAAATCACAGCGTTTATTATTATTTGATCTGTTTTCTGCTCTGTCTGGTGAAAATTCTAGTCTTTCGTCTATAAAACCTCTCCCACTGAGGAAGTGCTGAGTGTGAAGTTGTTTCAGAGACGCCCATCCAATGAAAAGCAAGCTTTTTTCCCAGTTCTGGCAGCAGAATGTCACATTTTGTTTGACTTTTTCATCCATCCATCATCTAAACCTCTTATCCTTCTGGGTCGCTGGAGCCTATCCCAGCTGTCATTGGGCGAAAGGCAGGATACACCCTGGACAGGTCGCCAGTCCATCTCGGGGCAGACAGACAGACATGCACATTCACTCACACCTAGGGGCAATTCAGCATGTCCAATTAGCCTGACTGCATGTCTTTGGACTGTGGGAGGAAACCGACGCAGACACGGGGAGAACAGGCAAACTCCACACAGAAATGACCCTGGTCGCCTGGCCGGGAATCAAACCCAGGCCATTCTTGCTGCGAGGCGACAGCGCTACCCACTGCGCCACCCTTGTTTGACTTCTTGAAGTTTTTAATTAATATATCAAAATAATAACTTATTATTTCAAAATAATTACTTATTGAATTGAAATAATTCAACTTTCTTATTAAGTCTACAAGTTTAATATTATACAGCCCAAGCTTAAACACTGACTTTTGGAGCGTGTAAATATTTTTACGTTTTATATTGCAGTTTTTCACTGAATTCTTTAGTAAAAAATTTCATCTTAAATCCAAACTCTGAGTGTTATCAGAGGAGCCTGTTAGCCTGTTAGCTTTTAAAAGAAAACTTATTTTGTTTTACTGAAAAGCTGAAATGAAACAATTGACCCTTTTTTAGGATTATTGACTCTTTTTATGTAAGCTGTTTGACTCTTTTTCTGTAAGCTGTATATATATATATATATATATATATATATAATTATGTGATGTTCAGAAAAAATGCAAGTATTGTTTTGTACTTTGTTTAAAACTACAATATAAGTAAGTAAACATTACAGAATGTTCTGTAAATATTCATTAACAGTAACTACCTGACATGTGTTGTTTGTTTATTTATTTATTTATTTATTTATTTATTTTCATTTCAGCTCCTGTAACTCTGGACCCCAACACTGCTCATCCTAGACTCATCCTGTCTGATGATCTGACCAGTGTCAGATTCCCTATTTATCACCAGCAGCTTCCTGATAATCCAGAAAGATTTGAGGAATATGCATATGTTCTGGGCTCTGAGGGCTTTAACTCAGGAACTCACTGCTGGGATGTTGAAGTTGGAGACAGTGAAATCTGGTTACTGGGTGTGATGACAGAATCTGCTCAGAAGAAGGGAAGTATATCCTCCAGGAGTGGAATGTGGTATGTGTGGTATAATGATGGTGTATATAAATCCTGTTCTTCACCACAGCCAGACACTCTCCTCTCAGTAGGTCAGAACCTGCAGAGGGTCAGAGTTCAGCTGGACTGGGACAGAGGGAAACTCTCATTCTCTGATCCTCTCACTAACACACACTTACACACTTTCACACACACATTCACTGAGAGAGTTTTTCCACTGTTCAGTACCAGTGAAATCATGCAAATCACAGCAGTTCAGTTTAGTGTATCAGTGAATCAGCTCAGTTAGAGCTCATTAAGTCTTTGTGTGGATCAGCACTGAAAAACTGATTAATACTGAAATGATCACTGCGGTTATAAGACCTGTTCAGTTACTGCAGCTGAGCTGAGATTATTTGAGGAATCTTATTGAGCTGCTTAAACACATTTGTAGAAGGTTTATCTGCATTTTAAACCTGAATGTAAACCACATTAAAGTAGCACAGTCTGAGTAACACTGAACTCAGTACATTCTTAATGCTTAGAGTGTATAAAAATGGAAAGTAAAGCAGGTGTAACATTCAAATATATATTTGGATTATTCTACTGAATTGATTCAAAGTCAGAGTTGAAAACACATTTAACTGACTTGGTGTTTAGACTGGAATTATTTTGCTTTGAGTGACTCTGTATCTTAATTATGGTCATTTTATTAAAATACATTATTGAAGATTCCATCTTGTCACTACCAAAACAATCATAAAACTACTGAAATGTCACCATATGGTTCAGTAGTGACTGTTTCAGTAGTGACAATTATATGAAAATGTGGGGCAGCATTTTTTTAAATAAAGTTTTTTTTTTTTTAAATTCATGATTAATCTTGTTATGTTTCAACATCACTTTAAAAGAAATGAAAGGATCTTAAAAAAATACAAAAAGTATTATTTTCACAAGTTGAAGTTTAGGGGTTAGAGTTTGAGACGCTTCCCAATAGAAAGTACCCTATAAATTACGATTTTGTATATATTTAGCTCATTAGTATATCAATTAATGCCTTTTGTTTAAATAAATCAGAACATAATCCTTGTACATGTCTAAGATCTGAATACTTTGTTTTTTTACTGTTGGACCGCAGTTTGAAGTAATGGCCCATATGTATTTAAAATATCTCATATGTAAGTTTGATGCTGGGATGTTTTATCAAATTTGTTTAGAAATTTTGAAAAAGTCCATTCATAAGATTCTTCTTAATTCAGCGTAAGCTTTACTGTTGCTTAAACACAGTTGTGGAAAGTTCATCTTCATTTCTGAAGCTCTTCTGTGACCCTGATAACAGTAACACAAACCAGGTTATTGGGTTTCCTGTATTTTGTCTTGTATTGTTTTTGTCTGTTGTAAATTTGGTTAAGATCAGGGGTTAAACTGGAATTTGGGACGTGGGGGAGCCCTATTTTTCCAATGAGTGTCAACAATGTGGGAAGTGAACACTTCAGTGTATGTGGTTCTATATGGAGTTCTAACACTGATACCATGAAAATGGGATTAAAACTAACAGCCTGTTTGTTTCTGTCTGAACGGCTTAATGAAGTCAGTTCATTTATTTGTCTGTTTTAAGTTTTCCTTTTTGTCAGTTTTGTCATCAAAATTATATGAAGGTATCTTCTGATTCTTTTCTGACAAAAATGAAATGTGGAATAAGTAACATAAAAAATGATTAAACCATGAAGACGTCAGAGCACATCTGTGATTATTATATGCTAATCAGACGGTTCTTATTCAGGATAAAGCTTGAAGGAAATAGGATCAGTCCTCTTTGTGAAAATACAGGATCCAAAAGGCCTTAAAAATTAGCTTTTAGTTGTGAAGCCAGTTTGAATTCATGGTGTAGCTTCACATATTAGCAGGGCGTCGGATCACAGGTTAATGGTCGACCTGACTAACTGGGGTCCTGCCTGTATAGGGGGTCTCCAAAAACCTCACAAATAAACTGATTTTGGTTTCTAATTTTGATACTTGCTGTTATTTTAGTAATAATATACTAACTTCCATCATAGGTTCTGCTTATCTGTCTAATTCCTGCCCTCCTCAAAAGCTAAAGTGGTTTGATCCTCCTGCACAAATCTATGGTGTAAAGAACAGCAGTTAGTGCAACAGCTAATTCTGAAACACCAAAAGCAGGATTTCAGAAGTGCAAGGAGCTCAGAGAGCGAGAGAGAAAGCTAAAAGAGGACAGAGAGAAAACTGCTGACCAGTTTCTGTCAGAAAACAGGTCAGCCTGAAGAGCCAAACAGCCAAAATGCTGCAGTAAAGTCAGCTAGCTTGCTAACTAGCGGTTAGCTATCAAGCAGTGATTCATAACAAACACGAGCTGATAAAGAGGCAGGATTTGATTCAGAGCAGCTGGTGAGCGTTTTATTAACAGGTAATGTACCAGACAGTGTTTCTGTGATCATAACCAGTGAAGTTCAGCCTCAGTGCAGCAGTGAACCTGTAAAACACCCTTTACTGTTAGTTCCAGAAGTGACTGATGGAGAGAGAGCAGCTCCTCTTCCTCTACTGAGGCAGCTGAGTGAGGCACGCTGAGCTCAACAAAGCAGCCAACAGCTTCCAACTAACAGCCAAACATCTGTTTAGCAGGTAAAGTGAAAATGACAGTAAATATACTGAAATATTTTTGTTTTGTTTTTCTCTTTTGGATGTTTCCTCTAATTACATTGGTTGTCTTGAAGAGAGACCAAGTTTAAGTCTAATCCTTTTTGAACTACAGCAGGATTGATGATTCAACAGTGCAGAAATGGCAACTTGGCAAGTGAAATTATCTTAAATCTAGTTAATATATATCTAATATCACTCATTTTGAGATTGTTCTAAACCTATTTTAAGGCTATTTAAACATTTTTCTAGACATTGTTATCTGCTTGGTGTAATTTTAGTCAAATTATCTCACTATATTGGCAGATATTTTTGCTTGTTATAAGAAACATGCTGGACACCAGCTAAATTATTATTAACTATTGAAATATAGTGAGATAATTTTACTTGACAAGATTACTTAAAGCACGTGCAGATACCTACAACTAAGTGAAATAATCTGAAAAGAAGTTTACAACAATCTCAAAATGAGAAATGTTAATGTATTGAATGGATTTAAGATTAATTCACTTGCCAAGATACCATTTTTTGCAGTGAAAGCACAGCTTACCTTATTGATTATGAGCTGTTTTACCCTTAAATACATACCAACCAACAACATAAAGTAATGCAACAAAATAAATAAAATTTTTGTTTTCTTAATTTTTTGGGGAGGGGGCAAATACCGTGCCAGGGGCCCAAAATTCAGGGCTGTGCCCCTGTATATTACATGCAGAAATGAATAATTCATAGGTTTGGTAGAAATATAGGCATATTACATAGACGTTTGCAAACATAATTCTGAAAACTGATTGAAAGATTACAAATTTCAAATATGAAATATTTGTCATACAATATGACATAAATGTGTACATCCGAAAAATTAAGCTCTTATGGACATTTATTAACAAACATTTAGCTGATTTAAAGTGAAATATTGATTATTCTTATTGTATTTATATCAAGTTAATATTTCAGCTCATTTCAGTAATTTAAGCAATTAAACATAATATTAGCTTTAAACTTAATGTAGCTTGGAAATTTTGTGTTAAGCCTTTTTTGCTCATCCTTATTAATGAAATCCATGATGTGGCTGGACAGGCTTTAGGTGAGTTGGGGTGGAATGACTCTAAAATCACAGTTTATTATTATTTGATCTGTTTTCTGCTCTGCCTGGTGTAAATTCTAGCCTTTCCTCTTTAAAACTCCTCCCACTGAAGCTTCTCCCCCTGAGGAGGTGCTGAGTGTGAGGCGTCTGCACAGCTTTCCATGCTGTACTGTTGTTTTCTGCTGAGTCTCCTTTTGTTGGTGAGTTTATGGAGAATTCTGGAACTGGAGAATCTCTCTGAAGGGAAATGATCACTAACTGGATCTACAGCCGCCTGTTTGACTGAAAAACAACCCTGAAATCAGAGACTGAGAGTTTCACAGAACTGAAAGTGAAAGCCTGAGTGTTCTCACTGGAAGAAACAGCAGGAAAAGAAAATGGCTTCTAAATCTTTCTCAGAGGAGGATCTCTCCTGTCCTGTGTGCTGTGAGATCTTCAAGGATCCTGTTATTCTGCACTGCAGCCACAGTGTGTGTAAAGACTGTCTGCAGCGGTTTTGGGAAACCAAAGGATCCAGAGAATGTCCAGTTTGTAGGAGGAGATCTTCAATGCATGAACCTCCTACAAACCTGGCTTTAAAGAACCTGTGTGAGGGTTTCTTACAGGAGAGAAGTCAGAGAAGTCCAGCAGAGTCTGAAAACATCTGCAGTTTGCACAGTGAGAAAATCAGACTCTTCTGTGTGGATGATCTACAGCCTGTGTGTTGGGTGTGTCGGAACTCTAAAATCCACACCAACCACAAATTGCTCCCCCTTCAGGAAGCAGCAGTTGACTACAAGGTAGGCTACAAACACACACTGTTCACTAAGTTCACTAAATTTTAAGCTGAAAAATAAAAACAATTTTCAGCGCTTTACTAAATCTGTAAGCTGATTCTCAAGTGGATTCACATTTTGAGAAAGAGTTGCACCAGTTTTTGTATCTGGCTTTGTTTCTCACAAAAAGGATGATTTATTTCAGGAGGAGCTCAAAACTGCACTGAAACCCCTGAAGGAGAAACTGAAGACCTTTAAAAGGTTTAAACTGCATTTGGATCAGACTGCAGAACATATAAAGGTTAGAATATCAAAATCTTCTGAGATTATTATTCTGCACCCACATCCTCACATAAACATTCATATTTGATTTGATTTACTGCTTCCTTCCAGACTCAGGCCCAACACACAGAGAGACAGATTAAGGAGGAGTTTGAGAAGCTTCACCAGTTTCTACGAGATGAAGAGGCAGCCAGGATATCAGCACTGAGGGAGGAAGAGGAGCTGAAGAGTCAGAGGATGAAGGAGAAGATTGAGAAGATGAGTAGAGAGATATCAGCACTTTCAGACACAATCAGAGCCATAGAAGAGGAGATGGGAGCTGAAGATGTTTCATTCTTACAGGTGAGGATGATTCAGTCAGCGTTACAAACTGTACAAGGAATGAAAATGATCAATTCTGTTTTACAGAACTTTTTTGAAAGTAGGAACAAAATCACTTTTAACACTGCCAGACTGTAATATTCATCTACAATCTTGCGAACCATTTAAAATGTAAATAAAACATGTTTAAATATGTATAATTTTCATAGAATTATGGCATTAATAAAATCACCCACACTCGCTGTTCCTCCTGATGTGCTGCTGTGTGAGTGATGTTAAATCAAATAGGCCAGTGTTGTAGCGTCTTTTTGTGCAGGGTATGCACTTGCATTCAGGCCCATGTTTTGAGGCCCCCATGAATCACATCTGCTTATTATTTTATTAATTTATAATCGCCTCTGCTTTTTATCAGTGATAATTGACTATTTACAAACCCTTCTAAATATCTTAGTTTTCCAGTTAGTGGTTAGCAACCATTACTGTGGTCTTTTACTTAGCATTGTAACCATTACCAGTTTTGCTCGTTGCTAATATAACCATGTTTAGTTATGATCAGCAAAAGTGCATTCAGAATTGAAGGCTAGTCTAAGTTCTGATGAAACACAGGTGACAGGAAGCCTTAGATGTGCGCTCAAATAGTAACACTTGATAGCAAATCTTCTCTGCACTGATTTCAGCTTGGACATCCACTATCAGTCAGTGACTGTTACAGCCCCCAAAATGTTTCAGCACCTCTGTAAAAAATTCAATGTAAAGCGCAAAAGATCCAAAGCGTACCACCTCATCTGTGAAACATGGTGGTGGGTGTCATGGCCTGGCCGTTCTCACCCAAACTGACACAACACAGGTTGTTATGTGGGAGTAATCTGCTTACCTCACATAAGCTACATTAAAACGGAAACTTCAACTCATATATAACAGAAAGACGCTCATTCATTCATGGTGTTCACAGATTTACAAGGTTTTTTGGGGGGGTCTTTAAAGAATTACTAGTGCTACTAGTGCTATTATTACTATTATGTCACTTTTCTAGGTTCTCTTCGTTTGTGTTTGTGTCTCGGATTAAGTTGTCTTGTTCCAACAACTTTGCTTATACGGCCCGGGATGAATTGCTACGTCACTGAAGTGGGCTATGGTACTGTGGTAAAGATAGTTTGTGGTTAGCGATTATAAATAACAGTAGAGCTACATTTCTTCATTTATATTTCCTGATTTGAGAATTTGTATGATGTTGTTCTCCACTTCAGGACTTTATTTTCTACTTTAAATTTTTGTCCAGCCAAAACAGTTAAACAAGGTTAATTTGTACATTTTCATTAACGCTGTAAGTGGTTTGTAAAGAGAGTTGGGAAAGAGAAATATAGACATTACGAGCAAAAGTACCAGCAAAAGAATTTGGCACATTTGATTGCTTCACACAGTTCTAGCTCTGGGTTCTTATGTCCACACAAAAATAATGCTGAGCAGCTACATAAAGATCAATATTTCTGAAAGTGAAAGTTGATGTGAGAACTGCTCCTCATACTGTGGAGGTGATGCACTCATGTTTTGAGGGAGAAAAATGCAAATACTGACAGCTAGTGGAGATGAGAGGTACTGCAGAATTTATGGGACTTTTTCTAATAACTTGTGCAGAACTGAATCCAGAAAAGCAGAACACCAAGAACGTACAATACACTACATAATGATGTATTATGAGTTCACTGGGTAGAGTAATGTTAGAAAATAAATAAAAATATTTAGATAAACAGATTTGACTGCTTTCACAAAATCTCAACACGTGATCTGTTGACTGTCATGCACAGCAGCTTCAGAAGTGGACAAAAAGCCAATTGTATCACCAGTATATTCTATATTGGGTCAGTCTTGGCCTTCTTCTCGCAAATTATAGTGTTTGATGTGATTTATGACAAGAAACAGGCTTGTGTGGATTTTCATAATCTGACAAGAAATATCTGTACAGACATTAGAAATGTTTATGCATCACTTTAGCTACATACATTTCATACATGTGACCCCATATATACATATGATGTTTACACTGTGTGAAAGTGATGCTTTCTTAAGAAAATAAATAAATACATAAATGAATAAAGAACACTGATATCACTCTCATTGTTTTACAGAACTACAAGGCCACAGTGAAAAGGTGAGTGTTATTGTCTCCTGTCTCTCTCTCTTTTCTGTGGTTCTGAACTCAAAGCTTCAGCAGCACTGAGTCCTGAATGTTCTTCCAGAGCTCAGGTCACACTGCAGGATCCAGAGAGCCTTTCAGGAGCGCTGCTCCATGGGGGGAAACACCTGGCCAACCTGAAGTTCACAGTCTGGGAGAAGATGAAGGAGATTATTCAATTCAGTGAGTCTCATTTTCTCTAGCGTTCTTTCTTTCTTTCTCTTTCTTTCATTTTTGTTTTTCTTTCTTTCGTATTTCTTTTTAATCTTTTATTTTTCTCTGGTATTTTGGGGAACACCAACTAAGGTTTTGCACTGTGATAAATCCTGTTCTGCCATTATAAAATGACTGTTGTGGTAGGAGCTGATTTATAATAATCATAATATTATAATATTACATATGCTGATAGTAAATACTGACTGCAAGGGCCCCCCATCCTCCATCCTGTGTCTCAGATTAAGGGGTCCTGTTCCAACAGCTTTGCATGTACGCCCTGGGATGAATTGATACGTCACTGAAGTAGTATGGTACATATATATGCATAATGTTTAGAAAAATTAAATTGTTGATTACAGTAATAAACTGTTGTCAGTGTGTCGTCTTGTAAATATTGTTTTGTACTTTGTTTAAAACAACAATATAACATAAATGTAAGTAAACTTTACAGAATGTTCTGTAAATATTCATTACAGTAACTACCTGACAACTTCCTGGAACTTACTGTACATTTACAGATTTTTTTTATAGTGTATAATTAAACTCATGAAATATGTGTATTTCTGTGTAAATTACATGTGTGTATTTTTTCTTCAGCTCCTGTAACTCTGGACCCCAACACTGCTCATTCTGATCTCATCGTGTCTGATGATCTGACCAGTGTGAGATTCACTGATGAGAAACAGCAGCTTCCTGATAATCCAGAGAGATTTGATGAATATGTATGTGTTCTGGGCTCTGAGGGCTTCAACTCAGGAACTCACTTCTGGGAGGTTGAAGTTGGATACAATACAGTCTGGTTACTGGGTGTGATGACAGAATCTGCTCAGAAGAAGGGAGATATATTCTCCAGGAGTGGAGTGTGGTTTGTGTGGTATAATAGTGGTAAATATAAAGCCTGTTCTTCACCACAGCCAGGCACTCTCCTCTCAGTAGGTCAGAAACCGCAGAGGGTCAGAGTGCAGTTGGATTGGGACAGAGGAAAACTCTCATTCTCTGATCCTCTCACTAACACACACTTACACACTTTCACACACACATTCACTGAGAGAGTTTTTCCACTGTTCCTTACCAGTAAAATCAGCACTGTGAAAATCACAGCAGTTCAGTTTAGTGTATCAGTGAATCAGCTCAGTTAGAGCTCATTCAGTCTTTGTGTGGATCAGCACTGAAATACTGATTAATACTGAAATGATCACTGCAGTTATAAGACCTGTTCAGTTGCTGCAGTTGAGCTGGGATTATTTAAGGAATCTTATTGAGCTGCTTAAACACATTTGTAGAAGGTTTATCTGCTTTTTTAAACACGAATGGAAACTACATTAAAGTAGCTCAGTCTAAATAACACTGAACACATTACATTCTTAATGATTAGAGTGTATAAAAATGGAAAGTAAAGCAGGTGTAACATTCAAATATATATTTGGATTATTCTACTGAATTGATTCAAAGTCAGAGTTGAAAACACACTTAACTGACTTGGTGTTTAGACTGGAATTGTTTTGCTTTGAGTGACTCTGTATCTTAATTATGGTCATTTTATTAAAATACATTATTGAAGATTCCATCTTGTCACTACCAAAACAATCATAACACTACTGAAACTTCACCATGTGTTTCAGTAGTGACTGTTTCCATAGTGACAATTACATTTTTTATAAATGAATTCATGATTAATCTTAATGTTTCAGCTTCACTTTAAAATAAATGAAAGGATCTTAAAAAATACAAAAAATAAAAGTATTATTTTCACAAGCTGAAGTTTAGGAGTTTGAGACAGACGACTCCCAATAGAAAGCACCCTATAAATGATGGTTTTGTATATATTTAGCTTGTTAATTTAGCTTATTATTGTTCAAATAAATCAGAACATAATCCTTGTACATGTCTAAGATCTGAATACTTTGTTTTTTTACTGTTGGACCGCAGTTTGAAGTAATGGCCCATATATATTTAAAATATCTCATATGTAAATATGATGCTGGGAGGTTTTATCAAATTTGTTTAGAAATTTTGAAAAAGTCCATTCATAAGATTCTTCTTAATTCAGCGTAAGCTTTACTGTCTCTCACAGTTTCTTAAACACAGTTGTGGAAAGTTCATCTTCATTTCTGAAGCTCTTCTGTGACCCTGATAACAGTAACACAAACCAGGTTGTTGGGTTTCCTGTATTTTGTCTTGTATTGTTTTTGTCTATTGTAAATTTCAGGGGTCAGGGGTTAAACTGGAATTTGGGACGTGGGGGAGCCCTATTTTTCCAATGAGTGTCAGCAATGTGGGAAGTGAACACTGTTCAGTGTATGTGGTTCTATATGGAGTTCTAACACTGATACCATGAAAATGGGATTAAAACTAACAGCCTGTCTGTTTCTGTCTGAACGGCTTAATGAAGTTCATTTATTTATCTGTTTTAAGTTTCCTTGTTTGTCAGTTCTGTCATCAAAATTATATGAAGGTATCTTCTGATTGTTTTCTGACAAAAATGAAATGTGGAATGAGTAACATAAAAAATGATTAAACCATGAAGACGTCAGAGCACATCTGTGATTATTATATGCTAATCAGACGGTTCTTATGGTGTAGCTTCACATATTAGCAGGGCGTCGGATCGCAGGTAATGGTGGACCTGACAAACTGGGGTCCTGCCTGTATAGGGGGTCTCCAAAAGCCTCACAAACAATCTGATTTTGGTTTCTAATTTTGATACTTGGTTTTATTTTAGTAATAATATACTAACTTCCATAATAAGTTCTTCTTAACTGTCTAATTCCTGCCCTCCTCAAAAGCTAAAGTGGTCTGATCCTCCTGCACAAATCTGTGGTGTAAATAACAGCAGTTAGTGCAGCAGCTAATTCTGAAACACCAAAAGCAGGATTTCAGAAGCGCAAGGAGCTCAGAGAGCGAGAGAGAAAGCTAAAAGAGGACAGACAGAAAACTGCTGACCAGTTTCTGTCAGAAAACAGGTCAGCCTGAAGAGCCAAACAGCCAAAATGCTGCAGTAAAGTAAGCTAGCTTGCTAACTAGCGGTTAGCTAGCAAGCAGTGATTCATAAACACGAGCTGATAAAGAGGCAGGATTTGATTCAGAGCAGCTGGTGAGCGTTTTATTAACAGGTAATGTACCAGACAGTGTTTCTGTGATCATAACCAGTGAAGTTCAGCCTCAGTGCAGCAGTGAACCTGTAAAACACTCTTTACTGTTAGTTCCAGAAGTGACTGATGGAGAGAGAGCAGCTCCTCTTCCTCTACTGAGGCAGCTGAGTGAGACACACTGAGCTCAACAAAGCAGCCAACAGCTTCCAACTAACAGCCAAACATCTGTTCAGCAGGTAAAGTGAAAATGACAGTAAATATACTCAAATATTTTGTTTTGATTTTTTCTTTTGGATGTTTCCTCTAATTACATTGGTTGTCTTGAAGAGAGACCAAGTTTAAGTCTAATCCTTTTTGAACTACAGCAGGATTGATGATTCAACAGTGCAGAAATGGCAACTTGGCTAAATCTAGTTAATGTATCTAATATCACTCATTTTGAGATCGTTCTAACCTTATTTTAACACGATTTCAACTTTTTTTCTAGATATTTTTATTTGCTTGGTGTAATTTTAGTCACATTATCTCACTATATTGGCAGATATTTTTGCTTGTTATAAGAAACATGCTTGAAATAAGCTAAATTATTATTAACTATTAAAATATAGTGAGATAATTTTACTTGACAAGATTACTCGAAGCATGTAAAAATACCTACAAATAAGTGAAATAATCTTAAAATAAGCTTACAACCACCTCAAAATGAGAAATGTTAATCTATTGATTGGATTTAAGGTATTTCTACTTGAAAAGATACAATTGATTGCAGTGAAAGCACAACTTACCTTATTGATTATTAGCTGTTTTACCCTTAAATACATACCAAACAATCTCATAAAGTAATACTACAAAATAAAAAAAAAATAGTTTTCTTAATCTTTTGGGGAGGGGGTAAAATACTGTGCCAGGGGCCCTGAATTTGGTGCTGTGCCCCTTCATATTACACATATAAATGAATAATTCATAGGTTTGGTAGAAATATAGGCATATTACATAAAAGTTTGCAAACATAATTCTAAAAACTGATTGAAAGATTACAAATTTCAAATATGAAATATTGTACAATATGGCATAAATGTGTACATCCGAAAAATTAAGCTCTTATGAACATTTATTAACAAACATTCAGCTGATTTAAAGTGAAATATTGATTATTCTTATTGTATTTATATCAAGTTAATATTTCAGCTCAGTTCAGTCATTTAAGCAATTAAACATAATATTAGCTTTAAATATATTAGCTTTAAACTTATTGTAACTTTGACATTTTGTGTTAAGCCTTTTTTGCTTGTCTTTATTAATGAAATCCATGATGTGGCTGGACAGGCTTTGGGTGAGTTGGTGTGGAATGACTCTAAAATCACTGGGTTTATTATTATTTGATCTGTTTTCTGCTCTGTCTGGTGTAAATTCTAGCCCTATCTCTTTAAAACTCCTCCCACTGAAACTCCTCCTACTGAGGAGGTGCTGAGCATGAGACGACTGCAGAGCTTTCCAGGCTGTACTGTTGTTTTCTGCTGAGTCTCCTTTTGTTGGTGGGTTTATGGAGAATTCTGGAACTGGAGAATCTCTCTGAAGGGAAATGATCACTAACTGGATCTACAGCCGCCTGTTTGACTGGAAACAAACCTGAAATCAGAGACTGAGTGTTTCACAGAACTGAAAGTGAAAGTCTGAGTGTTCTCACTGGAAGGAACAGCAGGAAAAGAAAATGGCTTCTAAATCTTTCTCAGAGGAGGATCTCTCCTGTCCTGTGTGCTGTGAGATCTTCAAGGATCCTGTTATTCTGCACTGCAGCCACAGTGTGTGTAAAGACTGTTTGCAGCGGTTTTGGGAAACCAAAGGATCCAGAGAATGTCCAGTTTGTAGGAGGAGATCTTCAATTCCTGAACCTCCTACAAACCTGGCTTTAAAGAACCTGTGTGAGAGTTTCTTACAGGAGAGAAGTCAGAGAAGTCCAGCAGAGTCTGAAAACATCTGCAGTTTGCACAGTGAGAAAATCAGACTCTTCTGTCTGGATGATCTACAGCCTGTGTGTTTGGTGTGTCGGGACTCTAAAATACACACCAACCACAAATTTCTCCCCCTTCAGGAAGCAGCAGTGGACTACAAGGTAGGATACAAACACACACTGTCAGAAGTTCACTAAGTTCACTTAATTTTAAGTTGAAAATAAAACGGATTTGTCATCACTTTACTAAATCTGTAAGCTGATTCTCAAGTGGATTCACATTTTGAGAAAGAGTTGCACCAGTTTTTGTATCTGGCTTTGTTTCTCACAAAAAGGATGATTTATTTCAGGAGGTACTCAAAACTGCACTGAAGCCTCTGAAGGAGAAACTGAAGACCTTTAAAAGGTTTAAACTGAATTGGGATCAGACTGCAGAACATATAAAGGTTAGAATAACAAAATCTTCTGAGATTATGATTCTGAACCCACATCCTCACATAATCATTCATATTTCATATGATTAACTGCTTCCTTCCAGACTCAGGCCCAACACACAGAGAGACAGATTAAGGAGGAGTTTGAGAAGCTTCACCAGTTTCTACGAGATGAAGAGGCAGCCAGGATATCAGCACTGAGGGAGGAAGAGGGGCAGAAGAGTCAGAGGATGAAGGAGAAGATTGAGAAGATGAGCAGAGAGATATCAGCACTTTCAGACACAATCAGAGCCATAGAAGAGGAGATGGGAGCTGAAGATGTTTCATTTTTACAGGTGAAGACAGTTTACTCACCATCGTCAGGGGTTAAAAGTATGAAAATGAAAAAGAATATTTTGATATTTTTCTTAAAACTTCACAAAGCAAAATCTTTAAATATTAACTGCTTTATTCAGCTAATGTTTGTAGAGTTATGACATATAATAATTTTCTCAACACTACTTAACTTGCTGGCACTTCCAGGATGATGCTGTGTATTCTACCGTATTATACAGATGGCTTGCAGTGAGTGATTCAGAATGAATGAATAAGTCGTTCATTGGTATCACTCTCACTGTTTTACAGAACTACAAGGCCACAGTGAAAAGGTGAGTGTTATTGTCTCCTATCTCTCTCTCTCTTTTCTGTGGTTCTGAAAGCTTCAGCACTGAGTCCTGAATGTTCTTTCAGAGCTCAGGTCACACTGCAGGATCCAGAGAGCCTTTCAGGAGTGCTGCTCCATGTGGAGAAACACCTGACCAACCTGAAGTTCACAGTCTGGGAGGAGATGCAGGAGATTGTTCAGTTCAGTGAGTCTCACTTTTTGTATCTTTCTTTTTCACTAATTACTGATTATGGAAACAATTATCCGCTATGTGATGTCAATTAAGACACAGAGTGTGAAAATAAATCTTTAGTAGCTTGAGGACCAGACCGCATAATCCAAGAGTCCTACTCCTCAGAGTGGGGTTAGCTTTTCATGATCCCACGCTCATAAAGTCACTCTGGAACAAGGTAAAGCAAAGAACAGGGATAGCGTCTCTGCCATGAACTAAATCTGTACGTCCTTAACTGATCCTCAACTTTGCACTACCGTGATCTGATGCTTAGTTACATCTGATGTGATTTCCCCAATATACTGGATCCAGTAAGACTTCTTTAACAGCCGTCCCCAAATTTAGGTACTAAGCACTTACTACTTTGATCTAAACCCACTTGAGGGCTGGATTTCAGCCCGCATTGTCAAGATAGCAATGAGAACAATCATTCGGGCTATAGCTCTGGTGTAAGTCTGATCCTTGATGACCACTTGGAACCTTTCCAATGGCAAAGAAAGGAGCCTCCTGCACTTTTCATTAATTAGGATTTCCACAATGCAAGTTTACCTTTGAAGGCATTTACAGCACTAATCATGCACAACAGGTCTCTGCCCTTTCCTTTCAGATCACAATTTAGCTCATTCAGTTTGGACGTTAGGTCCGTCAGAAAAGCCAACTCAAGCAGCCATGTCTCATCTGCCACCTCCTTGTATTCTTCATTCCTTGACTTCATCAATGTCATAATATCTGGCAGCAAATCAATGAATCGCTGGAGCACCTTCCCATGACTTGACCAGGGTACATCCACACGCAGAATCAGGTCTCCATATTCAGCGTCAAGCTCATCAAGTAATGACTCAAACAAGCGATGCTGGAGAGCTTTTGCATGAACTGAGTTTACAATTTTATCCACAAGACTCATTACATGTGAGAAATCCACTACTTTGCTGGGTAGTGATTGCTGATGAATGACACAATGGTAGCTGACAAAAGCAGTTCAAGTGGGATATTTCCTACAAAGTGTGATGAAACCAGCATGCAAACCAGGCGTTGCCGCTGCGCCGTCTGCTGTTATCAACACAAATTTCTGAAGAGGAAGGTTTTTCTCGGTAGCATACATGTTGAAAGCACAGTATATATCCTCACTTCTTGTTCTCTTGTTCAAAAAGAGAGTGAGAAAGTCCTCTTTGATACAGGCATCATTAAACAGCATGTGAACCAACATAAGTCAGTCATATTCACAAATTGCAGGTAAAAGAATTCACAAATAGATAAATCTCTGTTTGCATATGTCTTCTGACAATGACTCCACTCTTCCTGGTACATTTGCAGCTCTATGTGACATGTTATCTATGGCTCTTAGAATTTAATCTTTGTTTTTAAAGGATCTGAATAATGAATTGTTTTTTTAGTGCTTTGCTAGCAGGTGCATAATGTCAAAAGTGTTGGCTTCAGTGTTGGCTTTTCCAGTGGCGGCTCCTGGCAAATCTCTTGGGGGCAATAATGTCTGTTGCCATTTGGCATAAACAAAGATTTGTCTTTAAGCTATATATTTTACAGTATTTGTGGACAGAAGCATCCAGGAGTTCTTTGTAAATGACTGAACAATCAACTGTGTTCACCCACAGATAAATCTATCAGTTTATCCTCACAAATACCTTTGAACAGAAAGAGAGTGCAGTTTTACCATTAATCAAATAATTTTAACTAAAAAGTCTTCACTCTCACAATAATTTGAAACAGTCTTTGTCATATAATATTTTATTTTATGTGCAGCAAATCTAGAAAATTTTGTGGCTAGTTGTGTTCTGATTAAACAAAGAAATGAATGTAGGAGAGCCTAATAGTACTGACTACAGTTACAATGCACATCACATAGTAACCACTAGATGGCACTAGATCGCTGGATGCCCCAGTTATCCCTACACTAAGGGGAGCTTCAATCCCAAAACGTTTTGCTTCGGTTTCCGGGTTGAACAAGAAATGCAGTCTCCTACAAATGTGGCCGATGCAGCTTGGTGTTTGCAACTTTAAAACATGTATGTTGAAGTATTAAACACATATTTAAACCCATTTCTTCAAGCTCCAAAAAAAAATGTTCTAAAACCCAAGAATGGCCTTCTCAGCTGCCGTACTTATATATCCCACTTACTTTTATTGACTGAATCAAACTTTTATGTCCTTAAATTCCAAGTTAGCTCTCTCTGCTAACATCAGGCAAAGGGTTTTGTCCTTAACCATGGTGAATAAAAAATCCTTCTCCCACTCCTGGTGAAAATTTTACATATTTTGTTTCTTTTTCGACAGCCCTCACTGAGTCAAGTTCAAGAGAAAAAATACTAGTTAGCTGAGATGTGCAAGTTACAGCTTTATATATTCCTGCTTAAATAGCTAGTAAATCACTGCGGATGCAGAATGACGCAGCTATAGTAACATAAACGTGATAACTGAAGCAGCCATATGATCTATCATGATCGTATGGTCTTGAAGATGAACTTGCTGATCGTGATTGATTGGTTGGCTACTGAATGAGTAGTAGAGGATACAAGTACTTCTGATGAGATTAAGTCCTCTGTAATCTATGCAGGGACAAAGACCCCATCTTTTCTTTCTTTTCCATGACTTGTTCTTCTTCTTGTGTGAGACTTCTACAAAGTCAATGGCACAGTCATAAGAACAGTCAGGGAGTAGCTGGGTGGCCTTTTCTCTTACTGAAAACCTCCTTGAGGTCTGAATCTTGGGTGGTGGATAATGAGACTAACTCCCATATCTGGGCTTTTGATAGTAGTGCCCCTAACAAGTAGGGTAGGAAACTGAAGGCAATGTTCGAAACAGAAACTAGACCAAGATAATATCTCCTGGTCTGACCAGGAAATGCAGGGATTGTACTTCTCTAACCATGCCAGTCCTAAAATGACAGGTAACTCTGTGGAATCCGGTAAAGAAAAGGAGTTGGGTTCTACATGTAACATGCTAGTGGCTAGTTTAATGGGCTAAGTGGTGTGTAATGGAGTATTATCCAACAGGCTCTCCATCTAAGGCTGCAACTTTTTTGTGGGGTTTTCAAAGGCTCCATAGGAATCTGGCATATGTTGACAATGCTGCTGGTTATGAAGTTCTCCTCCAGTCTGGAGTTGATCAGGGCTGATATGACAAGAGAAGATTGCTGGCTGTACAGAGTGACAGACACCAACCCCTTTGTGAGAATTCTCACCACATTAGTGTGTGGCATGGTCTCTATGCGCTTTCCAGGGGTTGGCATCTGAGGTCTGTGCAAATGAGCCTGACAGTCACGTAGAACGTGACCAGCACCACCACAATACAAGCACAGACCTCCATAACGGCAAAGTCTCTCTTTTGGGGTTAGATGAGATAAGTTGCACTGCATGGGTTCCTGTTGAGGGCCCTCTCCCTGATCCTCCTGAATTTTCTTGGAGTGGGGTGGGTTGGTCAAACCCTTGTTTGCTAAACCCTCCTGGGCGTATGCCGCAACAACTGGTCTAGTCAAATGGATAAAGAAATAAACTGATATAGTGAAAGGTCTTCATCTTTACAGGCGAGGTTAGTTAAAACATCTGGATTGAGTCCATTTCAAAAAGCCACTAATAAAATTTTTTTTTCCACCCACTACCAGCTGCTAAAGTACAAAATTCCAGTGAGTAAGCTGCTAATGCTCTCTGCTCCTTCTGCAACTGCTCCTTTTGTCTCTGCTCTTTCTGCAACTGCTACTGGTGGAGCTTAGACAAAAGCTTCCCGCTTGATCTTCTTTCATGTGGATGGTCAAAAATGGTCTTAGGATCACATCAAATAAGTTGCTAAAATTGGCTGTTCAAAACAACAAATGATTCTGTCTTTTTTATTTGTAGAACTTTTGAAAGGTGTAGGTCTGCTGGAGTGTCTAGGCAGATGAGGGGCCCCTCCAAAGAATCATGCTTAGGTCCCCCAAAATTGTGATCTGAGGGACGTTAACACATTGGCTTAGAAGATGTTCAGCACTTTCACAGTCGGGACAATAAGCCTTTTGCTTATTTGTTTCCTGCTTGGTGGGGACTGACTGGAAATGCAGGAGGTGTGATCTGAACTGTGAATTATGGTGGCTGGCCTGGATTTTTGCTCTTCCTGTGGCTACAGGGGGCCTAGGGTGCCCCTTTAAGTCTGCAGCAGTCTCTCCTCCCCTCTCTTGGCATCACATCTCTGCAACTATTTGCAGAAGTCTAATAATGTGAAAACAGTGCAGGACCTCATCTTCTGCTCTCAGGGTTTGAAGCAGACCAACAAGTGCCTTGACCTGTATTAAAAATCTCTTAAAGGTCTCCAAGTCCCCAGGACAAACGTTAGGAGCATCCATCATGTCCATCAAGGCCAACTGATGAAGATGTCCAGCAAGTGCTGCCACTGTGTCTTTATATAGACAGGGAGAATTCAGGAAAGAATCAGCGATTAGTCTGGCCTTCCCCAACAAGGATCTGATCCCATCCTCTGGCAGCAAGTTCTGCAGTGCAAGCTTTAATTGTACAAACTCATGCAGATCTTTGTGAATGAGGTTAGAAATGTTAAGCCTTGGACAATTGTACAATATCTGTCTGTTAAATAGGTCACACAGACCATTATGGTCCAAGCCCATATGTCAAACGTGACAATGCTGTCTTGATGAGGGCATAGGATGATAGACTGCATACTCATCTGAGGCAGGTGGAGGTGGAGGGTGATGGGAGGTTAGGCTGTTCAGTAGCACTACATGCCATAGGCTGAAGAAAGGAATATCAGGTCTTATCTGTTTTTTTTTCCCTCATGGTTGCATTTTTTGATACACTCCATCAAACAGACTCTCATGGTAGGGCTCTCCTACTCCATCTCTGCAATGCTGTGAATGTAACTGACAACTAGATGGGTAGAAACTTACAACCCTATTTCCAAAAACATTGGGACGCAGTGCAAAATGTAAATAAAAACAAAATGCAATGATTTGCAAATCATTTAAACCCTATGTTTAATTGAAAATAGTACAAAGACAACATTTCAAATGTTGAAACTGAGAAATTGTATTGTTTTTGAAAAATATATGCCCATTTTGAATTTGATGCCAACAACATGTTCTAAAAAAGTTGGGACGGGGCAACAAAAGGCTGGTAAAGTTTTGTAACGCAAAACATCTGGTGGTTGATTGGCAACAGGTCAGTAACATGATTGTGTATAAAAAGCATCTCAGAGAGGCTCAGTCTTTCAGAAGTAAAGATGAGGAGGATTTCACCACTCTGTGAAAGACTGCACAATCAAATAGTGCAAAAATTCAAGAAAAACGTTTCTCAATGCAAAACAGCAAAGAACTAGCGGCGGCACTCTAGTGGAAATCACTGCGTGGGCTCAGGAACACTTCTGAAAACCACTGTCTGTGAAAACAGTTTGTTGCAGTTTAGAACTCTAAAATGCAAAGAAGAAACGATACATAAACAGGATCCAGAAACACTGCCACCTTCTCTGGGCCTGATCTCATTTAAAATGGACTGAGCGGAAGTGGACGTCAACATTTGAAATTCTTTTTGGAAATCATAGACACTGTGTCCTTTGGGCTAAAGACCACTCAGCTTGTTATCAGTGCACAGTTCAAAAGCCAGTATTCATGGTGGTATAGGGGGGCATTAGTGCACAAGGTATGGATGATTTGCACATCTGTGAAGCAACATTAATGCTGAACGACATATACATGTTTTGGCAAGACAATGCCAAACCAAATTCTTCCTAAGTTTTAATTTTGTTTCTTTTGCGTCCTTCAGAGATGGACTTGTGTGCTTCAGATCATTGTCTTTCTGGATAACTCAACTGCGCTTGAGCTTTAGGTCACAAACTGATGGGCAGACATTCTCCTTAAGGACTTTCTGATATAGAGCAGAATTCATGGTTCCATCAATTATGACAAGCTGTCCAGGTCCTGCAGAAGCAGCCCCAGAACATCATGCTACCACCAGGATCTTTGACTGTTGGCATGATGTTCTCATGCTGGAATACAGTGTTAGCTTTATGCGAATAAGCCTTTATGCTTTTTGGTTAGCAGTGGTTTGCACCTTGCAGCTCTTCAATGGATGCCATTTTTGCTCAGTGACTTTCTTATTGTGGAATCGAGTACATTGGCCTTAACTGAGTCAAGTGAGGCCTGCAGTTCTTTAGATGTTCATCTGGGTTCTTTTGTGACCTCCTGGATGAGTCATTGATGCACTTTTAGTGAACTTTTGGTAGGCTTTCTCTATTTGTGGATAATGGCTCTCGCTGTGTTTCGATGGAGTCCCCAGAGCCTTAGCAATGGCTTTATAATCCTTTCCATACTGGTAGATTTCAGACTTTGTTTCACATCTGTATTTGAATCTCTTTAGAGCATGGCATCATGTGCTGCTTTTTGAGACCTTCAAGCTGCTTCACATTGCCAGACAGGTTCTATTTAAGTGATGTTTAGATTAAACAGGTCTGTCAGTAATCAGTTAGGCTAGTTAAAAATTAGCCTAATAGTCCATTGAGTTTGCTTAGCTGGTTGATTTAGCACCTAAAGGGGCATTTAGTTTTTCACATAGGGCCAAGTAGGGCTGAACAGCATTCTTCCTTCAATAAATGAAACCATCATTTAAAAACAGAATTTTATGTTTACTTGGGTTTACTTTATCTAATATTAAAAGTAGTTTGATGTTCTGAAACATTCAAATGTGACAAATTCTAATCATTGGCACCTGATCGAGTGCACCTGATTTCAATATGACATGTATGAAGTAATGATGTATGTAGGGGTGTACTTAGTTTTTCCACATAGGAAAGTTGCATTATTATTTATTTCAGTTATGTAAACAATGAATGTTAATTCTAACTGTCACTTGTTAAATCATATCTCTCTTATCTATCTACAGTGTTTAAATTAAGATTTGATTTATATATTTCCAAATATATTGAAAAAGTCTAAATTTTTCATGGAGTGTCTCCACATGACTGTATGTATTTCTACTTATATTACATGTGTGTATTTTTTCTTCAGCTCCTGTAACTCTGGACCCCAACACTGCCCATCCTAGTCTCATCCTGTCTGATGATCTGACCAGTGTGAGAGGCAGTGATAAGGAACAGCAGCTTCCTGATAATCCAGAGAGATTTGATAAATCTGTATGTGTCCTGGGCTCTGAGGGCTTTAACTCAGGAACTCACTGCTGGGATGTTGAAGTTGGAGACAATACAGTCTGGTTTGTGGGTGTGATGACAGAATCTGCTCAGAAGAAGGGAAGTATTTTTTTCAAGAGTGGAGTGTGGTTTTTTTGGTGTAACAGTGGTAAATATGGAGCCCGTTGTACACCTCAGCTATTCTCCATGCTCTCAGTAGGTCAGAAACTACAGAGGGTCAGAGTTCAGCTGGACTGGGACAGAGGAAAACTCTCATTCTCTGATCCTCTCACTAACACACACTTACACACTTTCACACACACATTCACTGAGAGAGTTTTTCCATTGTTCAGTACCCGCGACATCAGCCCTGTGAAAATCACAGCAGTGCAGGTTAGTGTATCAGTGAATCAGCTTGATAGAGAGAGTTAGTTTTCGCTCAGGTTTTAGTTGTCGAATGTGTTTACGCTGCTGTAATGTGGCTCAAATGTGTCTCAGACCACCTGCTGAAGTGGTCTGAGTGGATTTGTATCTGTTTTATGTGCGTTTTGGGTTCATTTGTACTTGCATTTTCGTGTTGCTTGGTTCTACCCAGGTATAATCCTGATACTCAACACGCATGAAGTGACCAGGTATAAACGGGGTCATTGTTGTTTTTCTCAATTCATTAAACACAACAAATTTGTTTTCACATTATGAACAAAATGTTGTCCATGCAGTAGAGACCTGTTAAGTGGCTTTACACTTTTTTTACAACATAGTTGTGAAAAGTTTATCTTCATTTTTGGAAGCAACCCCTTTAACAGTATTATTAACCAGACTTTTTGGTTTCCTGGCTTTTGCCTTATTTTATTTATTTATTTATTTTCAATTATAAGTGTGCCTGTGCCTTTGTTAACTTTACTGCTTGTGTGTAATTTTGCAGCCCATCCTGTTAATTTTACAAACTCCTCTATCAAGTAAATCTAATGTGAATTGTCTGCAGCTGCCAAATAAAACAGTTTAAATCAGTTTAACAACTCAAATGTAACAATAAATCAGTCACTGACCACCCTTCATTTATTTCCTGTCCAGTAAATAACAGCCATTCAGTACACATTTAGCATTTTTCAGGAGATATTTTTGAGCAGATATAAGGTAGTCCATTCTCATAACTGCCCCCATCAGATAAACAGCACTTAAAGCTTTCATCTCTGAGAGAGAGGAGAAAATCAAGCTGCTTCAGATCTGAAAACATCCACAGGTGTTTCTGTCCATCCTTCCACTGTGAGAAGACGACTCAGCGCTGTGGGTCTGAAAGGAGGTGTAGCTGTTCAAGAAGAACCTCACTGAGAAAAGGAGACGGACACATCAACCAAAGAAGCTGAACGATGGACTGACCACCCCAGAGTCCAGACCTCAACATCACTGAGTGTGTTTGGGTTAATTTGGATTGTGAGAAGCAGAAAATGGAAACCAACTTCTAAGACTGAACTTTGGAGATGTTGAAAAATATCCCTGCAGATTTCTTTAAAAAACTAAAAATGAGTCCTGTGGAAAGAATGGCAGCTGTAATAAAGAAAAAGCATGCACACACTAAATACTCATATTACAATTAGTTGTTGAGGGTTTGTTTCATTTTCTGTTAAATGTTTTCTGTTTGTTTTTTTTTTAATTTTTTTATATAAAAAAATTAATAACAATTACCATTTTGATTGGAAATGAAATAAATTAAGGGTGGTCTCTGGCTTTTGCAGAGTACTCTAGATTCGAGGGAAACAATCTTGTGCTTGTGCAGTCTGTCTTCTGAAGATTTTACTAGTTCTGTGCTCTGCAACAGTAAATTAGTTCAGTGACGGATAATACAGTGAATATGATATAAAGTACTGCACTGAATTTACTGCATAATTCTAGTAGGGCTTATTTTCTCTGCTGGTGGTTTATGGGGTTGCAGAGTGAACTGTAGTAGTGTGTGTCAACACTGCAGTAGGTGATGTTATAAATAAAGTTTTCAAATACAATTTAGAGTGTTAGTGACATATTATTGACATAATATGACAATATTATTGACATAATATGAAATACTTTGTTGAAAGTAGGAATGAAATTCTTTGTTTAGGTTGAGAATTTGTGCTACAACTGTATAAGAAAGTTCAAGGCAAGACAATCAATGAGTCTTCATATTATAAATATGAATACCCTTAGATACTTAGAACGAAAGTGAATAAACAGGGATAATGCAATGTAAAGGTCAGAGTACATCAATGGGAGAAACACAAACACAAACATTTGGTTGGTGTGCTATACCCATATGTGATTGCTGAAAACCTAGAATGTTCTCTTCCCATTCACTCTCGTTCGTTTTACTTGTATGTTCTTTTTTGTGAACATTCTAGAGACAGCAAACATTAAAATGTTCATGTTTGTGCCGTCTGTGTACTCTGGCCTTAAAAGAGAATTAAAACAGTAAGTGAAGGCACAACAGCTATCCCAGCTAGAATTTTTTTGTTCTAAAAACGTTTTGAGAATATTACCATGCAGTGTTCTATTAATGTTTTAGCGGAAAGTTTTCTTTTAGTTCCCAGAATATTCTTTTTAAAGGTAGGATAATGTTTTCTAAAAACATTCTAAAATGTTTAGTAATAACATTCGTAGAACATTATATATTATACTTTGTTATTCTGTCATGATGTTTGACTACGAGAAACAAACTTTTTTCAGCACATTTTTTAAAATGCAGTAAGTTATTTCCTTAAATCTCTGTGATAAACAGACAAAACCACAGAGTCACAGAGGTTACATTCAGTGACATTAAAACAGAATTTGAATAAAGCTGAGAAACACACATCAACTGCAGACCTGTCATTGTGGCATTAATAGGTATCAGTATTGAGCCAATATCAGCAGAAAGTGCTGGATAGTATATGAGAGGGAGTAAAACACTGAATCTGACTGTAACAAATATATCCAGAAATAGCACTCACTCACACTATGTGAGGTCATGTTGTTAGCTGATCAATTTAAGTAAAGTGAATTAAAAAGACCTCATTTTAAGGCTTGCTATAAAAGAAAGAATTTGGATCAGTATTTATTAATATTTAAGGTTTCAATATCAGTATTCATTTCTAGTCAAAAGTAAGTGCATCATACAATGCAGAACCTTTTTGTATTTTGTAATCCTCCATGTTCCATGATAAGGTAAACAAAGATGTGTAGTTTACAAACAGCGTCTTAATATAAAAACAGAATACTCAATGTTTACTTAAGGCAAAGATTTTTTGCTGTTGTACAAAGGTGGTCTTTAGCACCTAACAGCAGACTGTACTACCTGCAATAATGTGGTTTACCCAAACCAAATAAAATTTCAAACTTGTAAACCTTGCAGCAATTTAAATGCTTCAGTTAAATGTTAAAATAAGTATTAGCTGCCATGAGCGCATTCACTTATCTAAACAGATTGTCTGCCTAAACTTTAGCATAACAAGAATCTAACAAGCTGAGTCCAGTAGAGGTAGAGGTTAAATATTCAAACATGTGAACTCACAAGAGTATCACAACTCCTCTTTAGTCCATCAGTCTTTACTGTGAGAGTTTGTTTTTCAACCCATGAACTTCTATCCATGAGTAGCTTTCTCCTCTAATCATCACAATAGTTTGTCGTATTACTTTAAAAGTGTACCTCAGATCTTTTGTGTAGTCCGCATTGACAGCATACAGAAGTCCAATCAGTGTGGCAAAGGCAATGGGCAAATCATGCAGGTCTTCCATTACCCCCTGTACCTCCATGACAAGGCCTACACTGACAATGTCAACAGGAAGCATGAAATCATCTTCATCTTGTGCCTTTCATCTTCAATGGTTTTCTCCCACTCATCTGTTGGCTTTATTTGAAAAGGAGAGAGAAAGGCTGAAAACCTGAGCAATACTGGTTTCATCAATTAGTTGAATAAAGTGGCAAAGAAAGGATAGCAGAAAGAAGGGAGAAGCAACAAGAATACTCACATACATCAGTTTTCAGACTTTGTATCAAGTCTCAAGCTCTGTCAAGCCTTATTATTCCCTCACCTCTTTCTGAGTGATGTAACTCAAGGAGCCCGGAAGATGCTGATCCAGGCCTTCATAGCTGGACAAATGCACGGACATGATCCTGGTGAACTCAAGGTTAATGCGTTGAACACATGTAAGCCAGTCTTCAAACAATTTTCGATAGACAAAATACAAGTTGGCCAGCTATTTTTCTTGGATTTATACATTAGGAAAACAGTAAATTTCAAGAGACTGTTTCTAGAGCTTCACTCTCATATATGGACTGTATGGAATGGAGATTGAATGGGTAATTTCAAGAACTTAACAGGGTATACATACTATATTTAAATTAATTTTTAGAAAGCAAGGAAACCTTGATTTCCCATATGATTTAGACTCCCACTCCAGCTACTTGTTTCCAATTTGCATGGTCTTGAGTAAGGTCTTTTTCTTCGTCCCAACTGAAGCCAAGCATTTGCATACCCCCGTTGCAATGATCATCTCCATGTAGGAGGGGTTGACCTTTCTTTCTCAGTCCTTTTTGAGGTATCCACGTAAATCCTTGACAAGCTGGGTGTTTTAATTAACCACAGAGATAATTAACTCACTTAAACTGTTCCAAGTTTATCAGGGACACTTACTATTGGCCATTTTTATCAGAAACCCTTTCTAAATCAATAAACTCTGTAGGTTTACAGTTACAGACTGTAGCTCATCTATTGCTGCACAATTTATCAGGCCTCCTGTACCAATGGAAAGGGACCTCCATAAGAGCACCAATGACCACAAAGTTTGACCAGCCACTTCATTAAATACACATTCATTGGGCCTCATTCACTAATATCGTTGTAAGTTTTTCTTCAATTAGTTCTTGAGAAAGGTCCTAAAAAGACGTCTAAGTCAGACTCATGACAGGTTCCTAGACTGCAGAACTGGTCACACCTTTGTGCTCTTGAGTGTGTGTAGATTCTGTTCTTACCTAAGAACAAATCCCAAATGAGAAAACACTGGTGAATGTCAGAGTCTTTGTGAAAGAGTTTTAAGAAGAATTTTTTTCTTAAGAACAGTTGGTGAATGAGGCCCAATGTTCTTATCAGGTCCGCTTTCCATGCAGGAGCACTTATAGACTGTAGTCCATCTGCATCGCTGCATACTTTGTTAGCCCCCTTTTAATTTAGTTTTAATTTGTAGTGCCTAAGGAAGTTAGACTGATTTGTCAATAAAAACCTACAGAACTCACAGGTCCAACTCATTCAATAACACATCAAAAACCCAGAAAGCCAAAAAAGAGAAAACATTAGTGAAAAAAGGATATAATTTGCATATGAGAGAAAAATCTATTTCTAACAACTTGATCCATGCAGAACAATAGCATGGATTGATAACTGTCCAGCAGCAATATATAATGTGCTCAAATTGTGGTTAATAAAGCATTTATATGCACAGTAGTGATGCTATATCGTGACGAATATGAGTTTATACAATATCATAACATGTACCGCACCCTAGCGCTTTGAGGACGTTAATGGAAGCCAGCCCTGCAGTGTCTGCTGCGGGAGGGAGTTAATTCACAAGCTCATAGTGGTAGCAACATATGTACACTTGGAGAAGATTTTTGGGTACAAGGTTAAAAATTTAAGCCCTCTGTTCAAACGTGTTGTGGCTATTATCCAATAAAGTATACAAAAAAAAGGCAGAATATTAAGACTGCGCAGTCGCTAGTTAAGTTTCTAAAATGCAATAGGCCGATGCTAGCTGGCCTATCTGCTCAAAGTCACAATGCTACAAGACTGGGAGTGAAAAAGTGGATACAATGTGTGTAAAAACTGGAAAAAAAACTTGCTAAAATCAACATATTAAACACAGTTACGTACATAAATCAACACTATGTGCTTTATGTGAAGCCAAAACGCTTACTTATGAGCAGTCACAGTTCGCCTTTGCGCCTTCGTGCCTGACGTGACGTCACAGTAAAATGATGAGATGACTTCACCAACAAATCACAAACCAATGGCAGTTTTTTTGCAGAGGTTAATAAAGTAATAAAATAAATTAATTAAAAAAATACTGAGCCAAAATACACTAAGATAAGATAAGATGGTGCTTTATTAGCAAGAATTAGCAAGCATTACTTAATCTGACAATTATGTGCAAACTGTGGTGATGAGAATGGGTAAAAAAACTGAATTTGTAGAGAAAGACAGAACAGTATAAACCAAGACCACGTGGAGTTATAAGCTTTAAGAGTGGAAAGGGCTAAACCTTTTTGACATATAATATTTAGCAGAATCTAGTAATGCGTTATAAAAGCTATTTAGTCCAAAATTAGTAGGGGAAAAGGAAGGCAAGGTGTTGGATCCTTGTTGGCCAATGGTCAGAGACGTCTGAACTCCCGTAAATGAAATTGAGATGCAACAGCATTAAAGTGGCCAGGAATATGTTCAGCTGTTACAATAAAGTTATGAATAACTGATTGCCATGTTAATGTCAGTAAAGTAAGGGCATGGTTGTGCTAGATGATGACCAACCTTTGTTAATAATGGCAACTATGGCTTCATTGTCGCAAAATATATTAATATGTTCCCGTGACCAAGCCTCACCCCACAGCATGCTAGTGACGACAATGGGATAAATCTCGTGCAGTGCAGAGGAAGCAGATCCAAGGGCAAATTCAGAGAATTCGGCTGGCCATTTCTCTGCGAACGACTGCCCTTGGAAGTACCCCCCAAATCCAACAGAGGGAGTGGCGTAAACAAGGCAAGAGAGTCAGTGGGCTTAACCACGTCGGAGTCAAAGAAAGAGATGCCTTTCCATTGCTTGAGGAGCCAAGACCAGAACCGCAGATCGGACCAGCATCCATCGTCAAGGGCAACGACATCATGCAAATCAACCACCGAGTGATTGAGAAGGAGTGAATGTGAAATAAAAGAATGACCCTGAGGAATGACGCGCATAGCAAAGTTGAGATGGCCAAGACGAGAGAGAACGTCATGCTTAAAAACAGACGAAGCTGAGAGAAAAGCCCCCAGAATAGATCTAATCCTAGTGAGCTTTTCAACAGTCTTTTCAGCAGAGAGAGGAACGTCCAAATTGCAAAATCACCCCTGAGTGGAATACCCAGTGCGGAATGACGAGAAGACAGGAAGTCCATGAGCAAAAAATCATCTAAAAGATGGAGAACGAAAGGCAAGTTACAGATGTTCAAAAGGATCCAACACAAGGCATCAGAAAGACAATCAAAAATATGAGGGCTACTCCTGCAACCGAAAGTAAGCCGGACGGCAAAATAAAATCTGGACTCCCACTTAACGCCAAAGAGAGGCCAGTCCGATGTGTGAACAGGCAAAATTTTAAAGGCATCCATAA